GAACTGTAAACACCGGGAACCGTAAACACCCGGAACCGTAAACACCGGGAACCGTAAACACCCGGAACCGTAAACACCCGGAACCGTAAACACCCGAAACCGTAAACATCGGGAACCGTAAACACCCGGAACCGTAAACACCCGGAACCGTAAACACCAGGAACTGTAAACACCGGGAACTGTAAACACCCGGAACTGTAAATACCGGGAACTGTAAATACCGGGAACTGTAAACACCTGGAACTGTAAACACTGGGAACTGTAAACACCCGGAACTGTAAATACCGGGAACTGTAAATACCGGGAACTGTAAACACCGGGAACTGTAAACACCGGGAACTGTGTCATGTGATGCGTAAATACCGGGAACCGGGACAGGCCTCATTACAAATTGAGAATTTACACACTTTGACCTGGCACTCCCATCTACGGCAATCTAGTCTTCAGGAAGTGGGGAGGGTAGATCAGATCGCAGCACTGCTAATTTTATTCATCCATTTGATGTATAAAGGCTAAGGGCTGCCCAGATAGCTGTGGGTGTATCTTTGAGGAAGTTTCTAGAAGACATCAGCTTTTGAAGAATTAGACTGAGTGAAAAAGACTCACACTCCCCAGTGGAGGGGCATCATCCAGTCGTTTGAAGGAGTGGATCCTCAACGTTGGGGGTGGGTGGGTCTTTTGTTTTAGGAGCGGAGGGCATTGGGCAGTCTTTGGATTGGAGCTGACCTATGATGTCAGCCTTTCTTGGTTCTCTTGTTTGCAGTAGAGAACAGGAATTCAGAACCTCCCAGATCACCTGAGCCGGTTTCCATAATAAATCTTGCCTCACCCACTATGTACAGTCGTGAGTCCTTCCAACAGGGACTTGAAGCATGGTCTCATGCATGTGTGCATGCATGTGTGTCTGTGTGTGTCTGTGTGTGATCGGAGCAGGGGAGGCCACCAACACCTGTGGGGCTGACATATCCACATGACACACAGGGATGTTGGGGGTAGGATTGGGAGGAGCCCCTAGGCTTTCTCCCCTCCCCAGGGATGGGGAGCTAGTTTGCTGTAGCAAACCCCTGACTTCTGTGCTTTTCTTTTTTAAAAAAAATTTTTATTTATTTCAACTTTATGTATATGAATATTTTGCCTGAGTGTATGTACGTGCACCCATGTCATGCAATGCCCATGGAGGTCAGAATAGGAAGTCAGATCCCCTGGAACTGGAGTTATGAATGGTTGTATGGTGCCATGAAGAAGCTGGGAACTGAACCCAGGTCTTCTACAAGTTCAGTCAGTGATCCTAACCACTGAGCCATCTCTCCAACTCCTTCTTTTCTTTTGAGACAGGGTCTCAAGTAGCCCAGACTGGTTTCAAACTCCTTATGTAGCTGAAGATTACCCCGAACTCTTTAAAATACTTTATTATTTTTATTTTATGTATATGAGTATATTGCCTGCAATGTATACATCATGCAATGCCTGTGAAGGTCAGAAGAGGGCGTCAGATCCCCTGGAACTGGAGTTACAGACGGTCGTTTGCCATCATGTGGTTGCTAGGAACCAAACTCAGGTTTTCTGCAAAAGCAGCCAGTGCTCTTAACCTCTGAGCCATTTCTCCAGTGACCTTGAACTCCTAATCCTCCTGCTTCTACCTCCCAAGTGCTGGGATTACAGGTGTTCAGCATCATACCCAGCTTGCCTATGCTTTGAAAACTCAGTTAAATGGAGTATTTTTTTTTTTTTGAACCTTTTGCTTTTTGCGACAGGGCCTCACTGTATAGTCCAGGTTGACCTCAAACGCGAGCTCTTCCTGCCTCAGCCTCCTGAGTGCTGTGGTGGGACAACAGGCATGCATCTTTGTGCTTAGCTTTACTTAAATTTTATTTTGGATGCTGGGTGTGTTGGTTACTTATTTGTTGCTGCAACAGAGATCATTTAAAGGAGGAAGGGGTTTGTTCTGGTTTACAGTTCCTGGGGCATACCATCCCTCATGGCAGGCAAGGCATGGTAGCAGGAGGCTAGCTGGGCACATGGACTCAGCAGACAGTCAGTGTGCTGGTTAGAGCTTGTCAACTTGACACAAACTAGTGACATCTGGGAAGAGGGACCCTCAATTGAGGAGTTTCCTCCATCAGACTGGCCCGTTACCATATTCATGAGGCGTTTTCTTTCTTTTTTTAAAAAGGATATTTTATTTATTATTTTTATTTTATGTGTATGAGTGTTTTGCCTGCGTGTATGTAAGTTACCACATACATGCAATATCCCCAGCAGCCAGAAGAAGGTGTTAGATCCCCTGGAACTGAGGGTACAGATGGTTGTTAGCCACCTTGTGGCTGCTGGGACTCAAACCCACATCCTCTGGAAGAACAACCAGTGTTCTTAACCGCTGACCCATCTCTCCCACTCCCTATGAGGCATTTTCTTGATTGCTAATTGATGTGGGAGGGCCCAGCCCATTGCGGGCAGTGCCACCTCTGGGCAGGTGGGCCTGGGCTGTATATAAAAGGTAGCTGAGGGGCTGGAGAGATGGCTCAATGATTAGAGCCCTGGCTGCTCTTGCAGAGGACCCAGGTTTGATTCCCAACACCCACATGGCGGCTAACAACTGTCCATAACTCACAGTTCCAGGGGATCTGATGAAGCCCTCCTCTGACCTCTGTGGACACTGCACAACACATGTGCACTTACACACATGCAGGCAATACACTCATACATATAAAATAAATAATAATAAAAAAAGTAGCTGAGCAAGTCAGGGGGAGCTGGCCAGTGAGCAGCGTTCCTTCATGGTCTCTGCCTCAGTTCTGGCCTCTAGGTTCCTGCCTTGTGCTCCTGGGGCCCTGGCTTCCCTTGATGATAAACTGTGATTGGGATGTGTAAGCCAAGTAAAGCCTTTACTCCCAAGTTTTTTGTTTTTTTTTTTAATTTTATGTGTATGAGTATATTGCCTGCATATGTTCATGCAGTACCTGTGGAGGACAGAAGAGGGTATCATATCCCCTGGAATTGGAGTTACAGACAGCTGTTAGCTGCCATGTAGGTGCTGGGATTCAAACCTGGGTCTTCTGCAAGAACAGCCAGTGTTCTTAACTGCTGAGCCATCTCTCCAGCCCTCCAACCCCAAGTTGGTTGGTGTTTCATCACAGCAACAGAGAGGCTACTTGGAACACTCAGGAAGCAGAGTGGAAATGCCCTACTGCTCAGCTCACTTCTTTTTAATGGAGTCTAGAACTCCAGCCCATAGAATAGTGCCAGCCACAATTAAGGTGGATCTTCCCACCTCAATTAGCCGAAGCAAGATAATCCCTCACAGACATGCCCAGAGGCTGACCTAATCTAGATAATTCCAGAGATATTCTCCTAGGTGATTCTAGATCCTGCCAAGTTGACAGTCACACTAGAGATCCAATTCAGGGCCTTGAACATGTCAGGCAAGTGCTTTACCATCGAGCCACACTCCAGTGTGGCTCATGGATGTGATCCAAAGAGTAGCTCACAGCCAGACTTTGCATTTAAAATGTCTGGTGTCACTTTAACTCTTCTCTTTAGCTTTAAGGTTGTGAACCTTAAACTGACGGCTACTTGTGATTTAATTGCTTTTAAAGGTTGTGAAGCCTTGCTACACAGGTGGGTTGAAGCAGGGTGCACTTGAGGCTCTTCTTGTCCTGCAGTGAGATTTGTCTCATCAGTGGGCTGGGAAACGAGGGTTACCATCAGCATTTGAAAAGCTCAGAATGCCTTAATTGCTGGGAGTAAGACTAAAGCAGCACTTAGTAACACAGCACTTTGTGGGGTGGTGTGCATACATCGAGGTCAGACCCTGGCGTGAGAGGTGGGTCAGGTGTGAGTACCTGTAGCGAGGTTTGTGGGCACTGTAGGAGCAGAGCTCTCCAGGACTCCCACAGTTCCCAACTGGTCGCCAGCACACCCGCCAAGCCCAGCACACCTGCCACGCCGTGCCACCAGATCTGGGGTTCTGACCTTCATCCTGTGGATCTCAGCTTTCATGGAGCGGATCTCCATCTGCCCAGTATCAGAATCCACCGCAGCACGCATCTCTTTTGCCAGTTGGATTTTTTTCTCCCAAAGCATGATCTGGTGCCTTCAGAGGTGGGACAGGCAGTGTCAGAGGGAAAAGCCAGTTTTTCCTAGGGCCTCACACAACATCTGATCTAGGTGACAGAGCCCCAGGGGGATGCACATGGAGCCAGAAATCTTTACTTAGGTTCCTTACCAGAAAAAAGGCTTGCCAGCTCTTGAAATGGACAGACCTAGGCACATGGTGAGAGAGGAGAGAGAGAGAGAGAGAGAGAGAGAAAAGAAGAGGAAAGGAAAGCGAATAATTAAAAGAGGGAGAGATTAGGGCTGAGGAGCACTGGTTGCTCTTGCACAGGACCCAGGTTTGGTTCTCAGCACCTACACAGTGGCTACACCATTCAGTTCCAGGGGATCCAATGCCCTCTTCTGGCCTCCACAGGCACTGAATGTAAGTGGTGCACATACACACATACATACATACATGTAGGCAACCACTCATACTAATAAAAGAGAAATCAATCTTTGAGAGGGAGAGATGAGATAGGGAGGTAACAGGAACAGAAACACACATGTAACTTTAGCAGCTGAGAAAATACATATAAGTAACGCAAGTTGGCTTAGGAAAAGCCTGACTTGCTCCATGGTGAGAACATGTGCCCCAAAGCTGCTGTGCGTGTGTGTGGGGGGCAATTAATGCATAGAGCCAGTCAAACCACAAGGGATGCATGATCTCTTCTCCATCCTTTCCCTCAGAGCACGTCTGTCAGTCATGGTGCATCTGTGCAGTGCCTACCAGCAACTGCTCCCCTGGGAGAAGCAGGTATATGTTCATAGGCAGCCACAACCATGTAAAAAGGCTTTTAGATATATGTTCATAGCCGTGAAAAGAGGGCCACAACCATGTAAAAGGGCTTCAAAGGGAACCATTGTGCTATAAATAAGACAAGAAAGAAACAGAGCTACACAGCGGTATCTGTAAAGGAGGAGAGCTGGGGATTGGGGGTGGGGTCCAGTGGTAGAGCACTTTCCTAGCATGCAAAGTCCTGGGTTCTATCCCCATAGTTTTTTTTAAAAAAAAGAGGGAGAAGAGAGATGGCTCAGGGCTTAAGAGCACTGGCTGCTCTTGCAGAGGACCCAGGTTCAGTTCCCAGCACCCACATGGCAGCTAACAACCATCTGTAACTCCAGTTCCAGGGGATCTTATGCCCTCTTCTGGTCTCCTCAGGCATCGCACACACAGGTGCACTTATGGGTGCAGGCATAACACTCATACACATAAAATAAAAATAAAATTTGAAAAGAAATAAAACAAGCAAAAAACGGGGGAAGGGGGATTACACGGAATCCAGAGGAAGGCTCTGAGTGTTCTGCTCTGTCTTTTATCCCCTTGAGACAGGGTCTCTCACTGAACCTGGAGTGAGACCACCAAGCCCCATCATGCTGGGATTACAGGCACACGTGGCCATGCCTGGCTTTTTATATAGGTGCCGGGGATTTGAACTCATGCTTATGCAACAAGCACTCTGACCTGCTGAGCCATCTCCCCAGCCCCATTTCCCCCTTTCTACTTTGAATGCTTTGTCATAGTGTAGAATGCTTAGGTGTGGGTTTATGCATTTCATAAAAATAAGATACATTTTATGAGGGTTACCTCCAAGACAGCCAGACCATGCCCAGCGGTAGCTGGCCTGGCTGGTGGTGGTATACCACAGCTCTGTATGGTGGCCTCCATGGTTCTCCTGGGGTCCACAAGGGTGGGCTCCAGAGCCACTCTCCAGTGGTGAATGCATGGTAGCCTTCCCCCTAAACACAGGGTGGATGCAGTGATTTCAGCATCAGCAAATGGCTGAGTCCCCACTTACTCAGCCTCCACCAGGTTGTTGAGGAGGGTGGCCTTCTCCTCACGGAGCTGTGTCAGCTTCTCCTGCATCTGGATGGTTTCCCTCTCTGCATCCTGTGGGGGGAGAGCTATGAGGAGGCTCAGGGCTGTGACCCCCGAGACCACCAGACCCGAGAGAACCTCAGACTCAAGGGGAGCCACCAACTCAATGACACGCGTGCCCCGGAGCGTGCTGGCCATTACCCCACTGGGAAGGCGGGGTGTGCTGACCTTCAGTGAGCGCACGAACTCTGACTCAGCCACCAGGTTGTCCTGCTGCAGTTCCTCCGAGCTGTGTTTGTTCTTGTTCACCAGCAAATTGAGCTTTATTAGGTTGTTGCCCAGGTCCTTCATGTGACGGTGGATCTCCTTTTGCTCACTCTTTTCCTGCTGGATCTTGTCTGCAGGAGAACAGGCGTGTGTGTGTGTGTGTGTGTGTGTGTGTGTGCGCGCGCGCGCGTGAGTGCTGGGGTCCAGGGCTCCTCAGCAGGCATCAGCCACACCCCTCTAGGAGGAACCTGCTTTGCTTTTCTCCATGGCTCCTTTCCAGCCCCATCTGACCCAATCACGTCCCTCTGTGGAGGGGAGGCTGGGATTTTTCCAGGAACATCTCCTGCAAGGACCTGGGTGCTAGGCAGAAACCAGGTAGGTGAGGGTGAAGGGAAGGGTAGAGAGTGTGAGGCTCCCTTCCAGCAAGGTTGGGACGTGGATGGTGCTCAGATGCTGTGGGTGCCTGGGAAAAGCAGGCCCTTTGCCACCAGTACCTGGTCTTAGGACGAGGCAGAAGGAGAAAGACAGGTGTTCTTGACATTTTGATGGGGAGAGGGCGCCAGGCAAGATGACCCATCCAGCTCTTCTGTTTGAAGGTCCTCTGCCCTTCCTACACCAGCGTCCTTGACTCCCTGGGTTGGGTCCCTAGAAGCTTCTATCTACTTTGCCCCAGCAGATCTCACAAGTCTGAGATTCACATTCTAGCCAGCTCTGGCTTTCCCACACTGCCATTCAATTGCTGGCACCTCCTGTACCTGGTATTCTCCAATAGATGGGTTTGGGTAACCAAAGGCTGAACAGGAATGCAATGGACCCTCAGGGAAGAAGTGGCCGGGCAGAGTAGCCCCAGACCCCAGAGCAGCGTTTCCAGGTGAGGTTTGACCCACCTTGCTCTTCTCCCTAGGACCCCGTGGGACCCAGGTTGTCTCAGCAAGGATAGAAGTGGCGGCCCAGGAAGGACACCCTGGCACTCTGGCAGGTTCTTGGGGCTTAAGATGAATCCCACCAGCTGAAGGGGATGCTGGGAAGTCATCTCACCTGAATGCAGAGAGGGCCCAGAGGGACCCACTGCTCTAGACGTCCTCACATTTATGCCCCTCAGCTCTGTGGGGGTGGAAACACTACGCTCCTCTCTCAAAGGGGCTCTGTGTTCTGGAAACTCAGACAAATGTAGCCAATTCCCCCACCCTCTGCTCCACGACTAGAGCCAACACCCGTCGAGGTCCACACTGACAAACTAGGTGACTTAGGCATTCTTGTGGCTTTCGGGTTTCTGTTTGTTGGTTTGTTTTGAGACAAGCCTGGCTGGCTTGGCACTTGCTGTGTAGCACAAGCCAGCCTTCAAACTTGCAGTGATCCTGCCCCAGCGTCCTAAGAACTGGGATTACAGGTGTGTGGCAACAGGCCTGGATTTCTGTGGCTTGCTTTTAAGTCTGGGGTGGTGGCGGGGGTGGGAACCAGGAAGCAAGCCCCTACCCGCCCCCCTGCCGGAGGCAAATAGCCCTTTGGGAGCCTCTGGCTGTGGAGACTTACTCTCTATGCGTAGCTTCTTCTGCTCTAAGATGTGAACCTCCTTCTTGAGCTGGTCCAGGGACACCAGCTGCTCCTCGCGCTCCCCGGTGGCCTGGACCAGCTCCTGCTGTAGGCGCAGCCAGGTCGTCTGTGCCTGGGTCACTTCAGTGTCCTGCTCCTGAGCTAGCTTTGTCAGCCTTTTGATCTCCAGCTCCAGGGGCCCGGCCTCTTCGCCCTGGAGGAATATTAGAATGCCGTGTGTTAGTAGAAAGACCTGCCTACAAGCCTGACACGTATACCGTACACCACTCATCAGAGAAGCTTCGTTTTGCAACAGACGGAGGCTACTACAGGGTTCCACAACTGGTCAGACACAGAGAATATATGTCTGAGAGATGCGCAGGCCTAAGTGACACATCTACAGTGGACTGTCCACACCTAAGGCTCATGCAATATAGCAGAACAGGGGGTAGAGAAAAAACTAATACATCCTGGGGCTGGAGAGATGGCTCAGCGGTTAAGAGCACTGACTGCTCTTGCAGAGGACCCGGGTTCAATTCCCAGAACCCACATGGTGGCTACGAACTGTCCTTAACTCCAGTTTGAGGGGAATCCAAAGCCCTCCTCTCTGGCATTGCATGACACAGGTGTGCTCACATACCATAAAATAAAAATAATAAAATATTTTAAAAAATAACCTAATACAACATCAACTCTCACCATCAAAGCTTTCTCATACAACAGAGTGCGACGTACACAGAAGGCCACAGCTGGCCAAGGCGTAGAGAATAAGAGACCAGAGTGCATGTCCCTGGATAGGACTCCTACATTAAACCTCACCCACCATGGCTCAGGGACCACTGCAGAAGAGGGGGTGGAAAGACTGTAAGAGCGGGGTTCATGTGTGAACATAAGGAAACAGAGTGTTTCTGGCCTCTGGGAACTTGCTCATATAAACTTGCAACAATGGTGACAGCATGTGCAAGACTCATGCTGAGTCAGACAAAAACCCAGCATAGAACTGGGGAAATGAGCAGGTCCCAACCTTAGCCAAGGAACTATTGGCAACTGATAACTGTGGAGTGAGGGAGAGCTGATGTTCTTTAAGGGAGTGACTCTAGATTCGCTGACTGGACTCCAGCGGATGAACATGCACCGAGGGGCATCTAGGTACACATGCTTGATTGGATAGGCCTTAACATCTGTGACAGAATGCATGAAATCTGGTGGGGGGGCTTTGGGCAGTACAAGTGTGAACATAAGGAAACAGAGTGTTTCTGGCCTCTGGGAACTTGCTCATATGAACTTGCAACAATGGTGACAGCATGTGCAAGACTCATGCCAAGTCAGACAAACACCCAGCACAGAACTGGGGAAAGGAGCAGGTCCCAACCTTAGCCAAGGAGCTACTGGCAACTGATAACTGTGGAGTGAGGGAGAGCTGATGTTCTTTAAGCTGATGTCACATCTGTGACAGAATGCATGAAATCTGGTGGGGGGGCTTTGGGCAGTGCAGATGGGGGAGGTGGCCTAAATTTGATTAAGATCTATCACAAGAAATGCACAAAAACTCAATAAAAATATACATTAAACAATAATGCATCACGAACCTGGGGATTCGCCACCTCCTTTCATTGTTATTGTTATACGTGTATCAGTGTGGGGGAGCGTGTGCACGTTTGGGAGTGCAAAGGCCAGAGTTCAATGTTGAGTGCCTTCCTCTGATGCGCTCTGTCTTATTTTTTCAGTCAGGGCCTCTCACTAAACCTGGAGCTCACTGATTTGGCTGGTCTGAGTGGCCAACAGGCCACAGGGATCCCCCAGTCTCCACCTCCTGAGCGCTGGGGTTGCAGGTATGCACTGGATTTGTATATGGATGCTGGGGATCAAAGTCAGACCCCATGCTTGTAGAGCAAGTTCTTTACTGATTGCCCTATCTTCCCAGCCCCCAACAGTTTACTTTTTAATGTGTGTGTGTGTGTGAGGGGCTGCAGAGAATCACAAATTCAAGGCATTTACTCAGAGGGGTTCAGCGAGTTCTCAGGAGGGCTAGGACCCTTCATCTCCTCACTGGCTTGAAAGTCCCAGGTCCTTATGGGTACAGCTTTGACACCCCCCTCCCCCCGCAAAGGGGCTTTGCACATTGCCCTCTGATGGTAGACCATCAAATCCTAGGGCCTCTCCAGCATCGTGGCCTCCCTCACAGCTTGGCCCCCAATGCTCATCTATTTGAGGACCTGAAGCCCACAGTGGGTCCTTAGGATACAGATGACTGGGGCGGGGGGAGGTAGGACATTGAGCCCTTCAATTCATTGGCCCTTTTGGCCTAGTGTAGTGGTCAGTGAGTCAAGTCCAACCCCTCACTTGTCTGTCTGGATGGTCCACAGGCTATTAAGAAGCCTGGCTTGGTGGCCCACAGCACTGAGGAGGCTAAGGCAGGAGGATCTCAAGTTCTGGGCCTTCCCTGGGCTACATAGCAAGACCCTATCCCACAGAACAAAACCAGGTAACAACAGCAACAACAAAAATTAAAAGATGACTTTGTGCCAGATGAGAAAGATGTAGTAGCTGTGAACAGCATCTTGGGGGACCTAGCCCACCTTTAGCTACCACAGTGGCTCCTTCCTGAGTATAAAAGTGGATGAGCGGCTACGTCAGCCAGCCTGGCCCGCACCCTTTCCTTTCTTGTCCTAAGCAGAAAATCGTGCCCTGGCTGCACCACAGCCTGGGGCACTGTACAGAGCCACTCCACCTGTGCAGTGGGGAGGGAAAGAGGGGCGCCTGCTGTCTGTGAGCCCCCAGGCCACAGCTCAAAGCCCAGGTCGGTGCCTCACCCCCAGCTCGGACACCATCTGTTCCAGCTGCTTGTTGAAGAAGTTGATGAGACCCTGCTTCTTCTCGATAAGGATGGTGCGGCGCGCGATCTCGCTCTCACTGTTGGTGATGAGTTCGTTGATCCTCTTCACCTCCTTGTCCAGCTCAGTCAGTGTCGTCTGATGCATCTCCACCTTGCAATGGGTGTTGGTGATGTCCAGGGTGGCCTGGGCAATGTCACCGTCAGTTTTCGAAAGATGAGTCATCTGGGGGCATGAAAGGGACGCGTGTGAGTGGTTTTGGCCACGAGTGAGCTGGACAGCTGTTTCCTTCACATTCTAGAAGTAATCTGGAGAGATCCCGGGTACAATCAGGAAGCAGCTGACTGGCCCTGCATCTCGAGGACACACTAGGGGCCTGCTCTCTGGGCCCTGATGGAAAGTTAAGCTGCTTATGGTGACAGATGTCTGTAATCTGAGCACTTGGGAGGTTGAGGCAGGAGGATCTTGATTTCAAGGGCAGCCTGGGCTACATAATGAGTTTGAAGTCAGCTTGGGCTACATGGAGCCCTATCTCAAGGAAAGAGGAAATGAAGGAAGGGAGGGAGAGAGGGAGGGAGGGAGGGACGAAGGAAGGAAGGAGAGGAAGAGAAAGAGGAACTGAGACTTTTTCCTAAGCAAGCATAACATCAACAGAGGAGAAAGTGTTGAATTATGGGTAATTCTGTCACAAAGCTAGCCACTGGAACCACCAAGAATCTTGTCTTTTAGTGTTTTATTATTACTAAATTTTTAAGATTTATTTTTTTTATTTATTTTTTATTTTTTATTTTTTTCTCATTGCAGCTGGTTTGTTAGTTAGTTTGTTTGTTTGAAGCAGGGTCTCCCTGTAGCCCCAGCTGTCCTGGAACTCACTATGTAGACCAGGCTGGCCTTGAACTCACAGAGATCCGCCTGCCTCTGCCTCCCAAGTGCTGGGACTACAGGCATGCGCCACCATGCCCGGCAAGATTTATTTTTATTTTATGTGTGTGAGTACTTTGCCTGCCTGTGTGTGAGAGCACCTGTGCCCTGAAATGCCCGACCTGTGCCCTGAAATGCCCGTGGAGGCCAGAAGAGGTACTGGAACCCCTGGGGCTGGGGTTCTGCATGGCTGTCAGCTGCATGTGAAACCAAATACGGGTTCTGTGCTGCTAAGCCATCTTTCCGGCCCTTCTTCCAGTGTTTCGCACATACCCTCTTGTGCCCTCCAAGTGAACAGAGGTGGGACCACATTCTACTTTTTTGTCTGATGGACCATGTCTCATATTCTTATGTAATTAAAAAATTATTATTTTTATTTTATGTGTATGAGTGTATTGCCTACATGCACGTGAGTCCACCTGTGTTGTGCAATGCCTACAGAGGTCAGAAGAGGGCATTAGACCCCCTGGAATTGGAGTTATGAACAGTTGTTAGCTGCCATGTGGTTCTGGGGTTCAAACCTGGGTCGTCTTCAAGAGCAGCCAGTGCTCTTAACCCCTGAGCCATCTCTCCAGCCCCCCTCTTTTGTAATTAAATTTTTTAAAATTAAAAAATCTATTTTATTTATGATTTTTATGTGTACGAGTGTATTACCTACCTGTATGTAACTGCACACCTGTCGTGCAAAGCCCACAGAGGTCAGAAGAAGGTTTCAGATTCCCCTGGATCTGAAGTTACAGATGGTTGTTAGCTGCCCCTTTCAGACTATGATATGTCCCTTCTCTCAGTGTGGGCAGCCAGAATACGCTGTCTCTCTCCGCTCCTTGGCTGTCTACGCTCCTGCGGAGAGCAGCTCGGCCTGCCTCAACTCTGCACCATCACTGCACTTATTACCCAGTTTTGCACCGAGCCCTGCCTCCCTCCGCACCTCAACTCCGAAGAGAACCACAACCACCGTGCTGGCTCTTCTTCCTCGATGGGCCGCTGCCCCACCCCACCCCACCCCACCTGCCACCAGAACCCAGGGCTCCTGAGCATCCAGCATCCCCTTTCAAGGGTTCTACTCCCATCCTTTGGACAACCATGGGAAGAGACAGATGTGTTGATCTAAGACTCGCTTATTTTTATTTTATGTGTATGAGTGTATCGCCTGAATGTATGTAAATAAGTGCACCCAGGTCGTGTACCTGCGGAGGTCAGAAGAGGGCACCGAATTACCCTGGAACTGGAGTTACAGATGGTTATTAGCCACCATGTGGGTGTTGGGAATTGGACCCGGGTCCTCTGCAAGAGCAGCCAGTGCTTAACCCCTGAGCCATCTCTCCATCCCCTGGTCTAAGACTCTTCATTGCCCTCTGCTGGGAAGAGGCAGTAGTTGACCTGGTGCTGCCCAGGAAGAAGCAGGGTGGTGACTGGTGGCATCAGACCTAGGGACAGATCTCAGTTGTTCAGCAATGGCCCAGGCAGGCTACTTTACTCCCATCATGGTCCTTAGCTTCTCAAAAGCATCTGGAACCACCTTCTTTGGCTTCCTGCCCTATTCCCAGGGAAAGGACTTGTGGGAACTCTTCCAGTCAGCCTGGGCATTCCAAGGAGTCCCAGCTGGGCAACATGTTAGCTGGTTTCTCTCCTTGGTACAGTCAAGTCAGGAGCTAGCTGCCCTCCTGCCAGGCTGTGTGTGGGGTGGGATGTTGAGGTTCCTTGACCAGGTGGACAGCTTGTCCTCAGGAGGCCCAGTAACAACAGGCCTGCCTACTCTTGGCATGATAACCAGCCACCTCGGTGGCTGACAGCCGGGCAGGTCCAATCTCCTGGCACCTTTAAGTTGACAAAAAGGACAGCTAAGCTGCCGGGCCAGGGGCCAAGCCTGAGGCCCCTCACAGATGGAGGGTAGAGGCCCAGGGTCGCAAGAGAGCTGGACTTGGGTCTTAACTGCAGACACACCTCTATCTAAGATCGGAACCCTATGCCCAGCCCCATGTCTCAACCCTCAGAATGATGGAACCAGAAAGCCTGGGCTGGGGTCACACAGGTGTAATTGAACATCCAAGGGGCATCCACGCTGGCTGGTGCTGTCAACAGCTGACAGAGAACAGGACTGGACCTAAGTCTCCCAAGACTATGGGGGTAGGTGTGGGGGGGGGTGTCGGCATGGGGACAGGATGGCAGAGTATCTGGGATGTGTCTTTAGCCTGGAATAGGCTGCAGCAGTCTCGGGGGGGTGTCCTTCCCAGGGCCCACCCAAGGCAGAGATTCCAGCAGGATGATACCATGCAAAGAAGCAAAAACCGAGGGAAGTGTGCTTACGCCTGTAGTCCCAACACGTGTGTGTGGGGGGAAAGCATGTAGATCAATGTGGGTTTGATGCCACCATGTGTTACACAGTGAATTCTAGGACACGGTTTCAAAAAGCAAAAACAAACAACAACAACAAATAAATAAAAAGAGAAAAATTCAAGCAATAAATTGCTATTCCAAAGACACAAAGGGTCCCCTACAGCTAAGGGAAAGCAAGGCCCTTGAATAAGCTCTAGGTGACCTTGGAGGTCAACAGCACACTGCAGGCCCCCAGGGCAAGCCAGCCTCTCCCGGGAGCTCAGACAGCCTGGTGATTGGCTGACGATGCTCACACCCTCTTCTACCCGGAACTGCGGGCTCAGCAGCTCATCCCGAGTGTAGACAGAGATTTGCCGAGAAAGGCATGTGTACCGAGCTGCTCAAAATACTGAAAACCTAGAAGCAGCCTGAGAATCTAATTCTCTTACATAACAGGGATGTGCCTGTGGTGAGAGCGCGATGCAGAAGTGAAGGCTGAGGTTGTTGGAAGCTGTCCGTCAAGTAAAACAAACTACAGAGGAGAATCTGCTGAGCCCCGCACAGTCTGCGCACCTTCCTGTGTCACAGTTCGGAACTAATAAAAGTGGATTTGAACGGGCCTAAAACCAGATGTTTGACAAGAGGCGTGTGGATGTTTGTGAGTGTGTGAATCAGCAGTGTGTGTGTGTGTGTGTGTGTATGTGTGCAGGCACGAGTGCAGAAGGAAAATCAGCAGAATTTTAAAATGTGGGTCTACTGTCTTATCTTTCCCATGTCTTCCTACGTTCTCTCCGCTTCCCCTGCTCTGTGGTGCTGGGGATTGAACCGAAGGCCTCATGCAAGCCCTACCCTGAGGTGCACCCCCAGCCTGTAACTTCAGGTATTCAGCAATAAGGTAGTGTTACGGGGTCTGGCGGCCCAGGCCAGTCATCCTGTCTTCTCAAGAGGCTACCACATGAAGATCACAAGTTCAAGGCTAGCCCAGGGAATTTAGTGAGACTCCAGTTCCAGGGGATCCGATGCCCTCTTCTGACCTTTGTGGGTATCGCGCAACATGGGTGCACTTACACGCATGCAAGCAATACACTCAAACACATAAAATAAAAATAATAAATTGTATAAAGGTATAGCTTTGACAGTTAGAAACAAGGTAAACTGAGGTGTTCCCCGAGAGCCCTTTGCTCACAGAATGCTGCTGGCCACCTCTGATCCCAGCCCTGGACCCCTCTGCCATCTCTGGGTGGGGAGCCACATACTAGATTGGTGTTTTCTTTCTGCAGCTTCCGCAGGAGTTGGTGGAAATACTTGGTCATCTTGCTGGAGGTCACGTGCTCCTGCAGCTTGTCCAGGATGGAGGCGTCCATCTTTTGCCGTAGCTTCTGCTCCTGGTAGATGGCCTGGCGGGTGGCCTGCAGTTCACTGAGCATGGCTGAGTGCTCCTGCAAAGGAAAAGCCGAGGGGAGGCCGTGCTCGTGGGGTGTCTCCAAGAGGGCTGGCTGGGGGTGGGGGACTGCGCCGCACCAGCTGGCCCTTGGTCAGCATTTCCTCAGTGTCCTGCAGGGCCAGCTGGCAGGTGCTGAACTCTCTCTGCAGGGCCTCCTGCTTGCTCAGGCACTGGGTGGTCAGTTTCTGCACCAGCGTGGATTCGGTCTCTGAACGGCTCAGGAGGCGGGCCAGAGACTCGTTCTTCTCCTCCTCCTTCATGATGGACTTCTTGTAGGCCTTGATCTCGACGTCTATGGACTTCACCTGATGCTCACATTCCCTGAGGAAATCAAGGCAGCAAAGCTGGTCATGGGCTGGACACTAGAGGACCACAGCTGTGTCCCACTCGAAGACTCTCACTGAATGAATTCCACACACACACATGAATCATCCAGGAGCCAAGTCTTATTTTCAGATGTTATTATTTACTTATTTATTTCTATTTGAGAAAGGGTCTCACGATATAGCCCCGGCTAGCCTAGAACTCACTATGTAGACCAGACTGGCCACAAATTTGGAGATCCACCTGCCTCTGCCTCCTGAGTGCTGGGACTAAAGGTGTGTGCCACCATACCCAGCCAGATTTTATTTTTATTTTATGTGTATGTGTTTTACCTGCATGTATGTAAATGCACAGTGAGCATGCAGTGCCCTTGGGAGTCAGAAGAGGGCATCAGTCACCCTGGAGCTGGAGTCACATGTGGGTTAGCTACCATGTGGGTGCTCGGAACTGAGCTCTCATCCTCTGCAAGAAACCAGTGCTTCTTAAAAAAATTTATTTATTTACTTGTTTTAATTTTATGTATATGAGAGTTTTGCCTGCATGTAGGTAAATGCACCTGTGTTGTGCAGTGCCTGTAGAGGTCCGAAGAGGGCATTGGATCCCCTGGAACTGGAATTACCAATGTTTGTTAGCTGCCATATGAGTGCTGGAAACAAAACCCTGGTCCTCTGCAAAGCAGCCAGTGCCCTTAACTGCTGAGCCAGCTCTCCAGCCCACAGCCAGTGCTCTTAACCACTGAGCCATCTCTCCAGCCCACAGCCAGTGCTCTTAACCGCTGAGCCAGCTCTCCAGCACACAGCCAGTGCTCTTAACTGCTGAGCCAGCTCTCCAGCCCACAGCCAGTGCTCTTAACTGCTGAGCCAGCTCTCCAGTCCCTCTTTTTATTTTTTGAGATAGGTTCTTACAGTATAGTCCAGGCTGGCCTCAAACTCAAGTCAATCCCCCTGCCTTAGCTTCTGGAGTGCTGAGATTACAGGTATGTGCCACCAAGCCTGGCCAAATTTCCTTTAAAGCTTTCTGGATGTGGCCTATGCAGTTCGGTAGCCACGGTGGGCAGCCCTCACAGCGCCCTGTCAGGCTCACGTGATTTTGTTTATTGTTTCGTTTTTTAAGACACATGTACATCTGTGCTTCAGGGAATTCCATTGACAGCTAGGGTGGGAGGCCCAGGACACCCGGGGCTCTGCTGTGGGGAGAATGCTGGGGGCCACAGGGTGGGGAGGAGGACACCTCACTGCATGCAACTTTACAATGTTTTTTTTAAAAAAATATTTATTATTTTTATTTTATGTGTATGTGTGTATTGCTTGCGTGTAGGTAAGTGCACCTGTGTGGCGCAATGCCCGCGGAGGACAGAAGAGGCTGTCGGATCCCCTGGGACTGGAGTTACGGACAGTTGTTAGCTGCTGTGTGGGTGCTGCGATTTGAACCCGGGTCTTCTGCAAGAACAACCAGTGTTCTTAACTGCTGAGCAGTCTCTCCAGCCCTGCAACTTTACAATGTTTTTAACCAGGATACTGTGTTATTTTTCTAGAAAATTAAATTTCCAAAAGAGACAAGAAGGGTATGGCCAAGCCAAGTAAGGATGATCAGGGGAGGAAGGACGGGGACAGCTTGCAGAGGACACATGGAATCCTGGAGGTGCAAGGGAGCTGGATAGAGGTGTCACCTTCACCTAGGGGACCACGGGACCTCACAGAAGACTCAGGCCATCAGTCTTGGGGAGAGCCTTGCCTTGACCTATTCAAGGTCAACATGTGGTTCCGGGACCAGGTGTGAAACACCAGCTTTGGGCTCACAGGAGCAGTCAGCCCGGCCCTCTGTTGCCTTGAGTCTGAGGGCACAGGGGACCAGCTATCAGGCTACAGGAGGACAGGAGAACAAGGATGCGCGTGTCCCCAGCTGGCCCTGCTGCCCTGCCTGTCTAGTTAAAGGGAAAACTGTCGTTGTTCGTAACTTCCCAGGGCAGTTCCACAAAGCTGCCTTTGGTTTTGTACTGTTGACTAAAGGAAACAAAGGGAATGGATTTTTTTTTTTTTTTTTGGTCTTTTTGAGACAGGGTCTCCCTGTAGCCCCAGCTGTCCTGGAACTCATTATGCAGACCAGGCTGGCCTTGAACTCACAGACATTCACCTGCCTCTGCCTCCCAAGTGCTGGGATTAAAGGCGTGCACCACCATGCCCAGCTTTTTAAAGATTTAAAAAATTATTTTATGTGCCTATGTGCGTGTATGTGCACATGTATGGGTGCCAGAGGAGGCCAGAGAGGGAATCGGATTCCCCTGGGGCTGGACTTAAAGGTGGTTGTGAGCTGCCTGATGTGGGTGCTGGGGACAAACTCGGATCCTTTGGAAGAGCAGCGGATGCTCTTAACCCCTCCCCTCCTTTTCTTCTTTGTAGATCGCAGGACAAAGAAAGAAGCCTCCGCTTACTGTTAGGACCAGCACCTAGCAATCCAGCAGAAGTGGTTCGTTCCTTTACAGCCCCAGCCTCTGGAGATGCCAAGGTGCAGAGGACTAGGCCACCAGCCACAAGCCACCTTCAGAACCAAATTCTCAGACCCTGGCTGGTTCTGGGCATCAACGCCTAAGAACCAACTTCTCCAACGTCTCCAACTTCTGGCCCAAGCCCCACCTCACCTCCCTTCCCTTTTGCTGGGAGTTAAGACATGATTTTGTTTTGTCTGGAAGTCAGTCCTTGGGCAGAACAATCCAGAGCAATTGGGGAAGGGCTGTGGTTTCATGTTCAGGTGGTCAAATTGCTGATCAAAGGGACACAGCTATCTCCCACAGACAAATGCCCCCTTTCTCTTTCTCTCTCTGTTATCCTGCCTGGAAAGCTGAGCTGAGGGCTTGGCCTTTCCCAATCCAGGGGCAGTGACTGGAGGAAGGCCAGAGCAAGGGGCCTTGGAATGGCAGTTGGCTTCAGGCCCCCTATGTCCCCACATGGAGGGGTCTTGATGGTTGCCTCCTCTCTCCATGCATACCCCACCCACCCATCACCCTGGGCAGCCCCATCTCTGGGTGGTACCTGAGTGCATCCAGCACTGTCCTGTGTGCCTCATCCCGGTGCTTCATGCCCACCAGGCTGGTGGACCACTGTTGCAGGATGTGCTTCTTCTGCATGGTGATAGTGTCGATCTCTGCGCAGGCCTACAGGGAGGGTGGGGAGGGCGGGGCCCAGACACTGGTGAATGCCAGGAGCCACCTCGCGTGGCCCACCTCGCCTCCACGCTGCACACTAACTTTTCTGCACCACAAATCGGCAGAGAGACAACAGGAAACCAAATACAGCTCTGCAGAGGCATGGGTCCTCCGTGGGAGCCTCTGGGCAGGGCTGTGGGTGAGGAGGAAGAGGACACTGGCCAGTACAACGGGACACCCATCCCACATCATGCCAAGGTAGGGCCTGGTGGCTGTCATGGATGGTGCTGAGGGCACTCAGGTGGGGACACAGAGCCTACATCCTGCCCCTAAGGATCCCATGCCCAGGAAGGAGATATTTGTGTCATGAATGACAGGGGCTGGCAGAGAGCATCTGGCTTGCAGATATGGGCTTCCCTGTGCTGGGAATCAGAATGCATAACTGGTGTGTGGGGCAGGTGAGCAGGGATGTCCAGAGGGAGGCAGGATGAGCTGAGGTTGGAGTGATGTGGGAGCGTCAAAGCAGCTGTGGGAGTAAGGCTGGGCCACACCGGGAGTTGGGGGCAGAAGTCAGTGGACAGCTTGGGATCTACTCTGAGGATGCATGCATTCATGAGGTGTGTGTGTGTGTGTGTGTGTGTGTGTGTGTGAGTGTGTGTGAGTGTGAGTGTGTGTGTATGTGTGTGTGAGTGTGTGTGTGAGTGAGTGTGTGTGTGAGAGTGTGAGTGAGTGTGTGTGTGTGTGAGTGTGTGTGTGTGTGTGTGAGTGTGTGTGTGTGAGTGTGAGTGTGAGTGAGTGTGTGAGTGAGTGTGTGTGTGTGTGTGTGAGTGAGTGTGTGAGTGAGTGTGTGTGTGTGTGTGTGTGTGTGTGTGTGTGAGTGTGTGTGTGTGTGTGAGTGAGTGTGTGTGTGTGTGAGTGAGTGTGAGTGAGTGTGTGTGTGAGTGAGTGTGAGTGTGTGTGTGTGTGTGTGTGTGAGTGAGTGTGAGTGAGTGTGTGTGTGAGTGAGTATGAGTGTGAGTGAGTGTGTGAGTGAGTGTGTGTGTGTGTGTGAGTGAGTGTGTGAGTGTGTGAGTGAGTGTGTGTGTGTGTGTGTGTAGGTTCGTTGGTGCAAGTTAGCCTCAGATGTTATTGCTCAGGAGCCTTCCACCTTGTTTTTTGAGGCAGACCATCTCGCTGGCATGTAACTTGCTAATTAATTAATCTAGGCTTGCTGGCAAGCAAGTCCCAGGACTCTACCTGTGTCTGCCTCCCAACCCCTGGGATTACAAGAGGGGCCCACCATGCCCAGCTTTATACTTGAGTGGTGGGAATCAAACTCAGGTCCTCATACTCACATGACTTAGCATTTTACCAGCTGAGCTATTGCGCCTAGCCACAAGTTAGCTTTTAAAAATATTTTATTATTTTATATGGATGAGTGTATTGCTTGCATGTAGGTAGGTGTACCTGTGTTATGCAGTGCCCGAGGAGGTCAGAAGAGGGTGTCGGATTCCCTGGAACTGGAGTTTTAGGCAGTTGCTGCCTGTCTGACATGAGTTCTGCGAACTGAACTGGGGTCCTCTAAGAGAGCAGCAGGTGTTCTTAACCACGGAGCCGTCTCTCCAGCCCAAGTCTGACATTTCTAACACAATCTGCCATGTGCACACCTCCGGAGTGGCTGCCTTGGAGTGAAGGTCAAGTAGCGGACTGATGAAGGGGTCTGGATTGAGACCCTGACGGTCAGGGGGCCTGGTGTCCCTCTGGTCCCACTTGGCCAAAGCTCCAGGCCTTTCCTATGGCACTCCCTAGGTTTTCCCTAGCGTCTCTCTGGCCTAGGAACCTCATCTACACACCTGAGTCTCCCAGACTCTCCTGGAAATGAGTGTCTGTCCCACTAGATTGGAGGAGGCACCAAGTGGGGCCTCTAAGAAGAGGATTTGGACTCTGTCCGAAGGGGGCGATTTGTGGCTGTTATAGATAAAAACCGGCTTGGCTAGGCTGCATTCACTCCTGGTTCTCACCTGGGAACTCTGCCTGCAAACACGCCAGATGTAGCCCTTGTCCTTCAACTGAACCATAAGCCAAGAACAGCCTGTTTTCTACAACTTCCCAGGCTAGCACTGGGCTATCGGCAAGAGACGGAGGCCCAAGGTGACCCCGGTGTGCCAGCTGCCGTAAGCCTGTCTCCTCCCTCTCTTCATGGCTCAGTCCGTAAACAGTCTTATCTAGTTAAAGCTGTGATACTGGGGCTCAAACCCACGCCCTTGTGCATGCTAGGCAAACTCTGCCAACTGAGCTACATCCTTGGCCCAAGGGCTCTGCTTTTGTGAGATGTTTAGAAAGGCTTCTTCGGGGCTGGAGAGATAGATGGCTCAGCGGTTAAGAACACTGGCAGTTCTTGCAGAAGACCCAGGTTCGAATCCTAGCACCCACATGGCAGCTAACAACTGTCCGTAACTCCAGTTCCAGGGGATCTGACAGCCTCTTCTGACCTCCGGGGGCATTGCACAACACAGGTGCACTTACCTACATGCAGGCAATACGCTTATACACATAAAATAAAAATAATAAATAAAATTAAAAAAGAAAGGCCTCTTCAACAAAGGACTGCGTACATGTTTTCCCCTGTTTCTTCTGGTAACCCCCAAACCCGACTGCTGCTACCTTTAAATAAATACTTGATTTCATCTGGAATTTATTTTAATACTTAATATGAAGAAAAGGTTTAATCTTTTTGTCAGGTGGTTGACTAAGGGTCCCAATACCACTGAACACGTAAGTCCGGTACTGAATACGTAAGTCCAGTCTTTCTCAATTAATTTATAATATGCTAAATTTTCATGTAGACTGGGCTGGTTTGGTGCTCTCTGTGGGTGCCAGTGGCTTGCCTGTCTATTCTTAGGCCCAGCAGCAGCATCTAGGGCTTTGTGGTGTATGGATGACCCCCATGCCGGTCTGCCGGGGCCTCTCTGGAAAGCTAGTGGTCTTGGAAAGTTTTCAGTCTGGTAAATTGGGACAGCTGGAGTCTTCCCTTTCTTCTCTTTCTCTCACTTTCTTTCTTTTCTTTCTTTTTTAAATTTAATTTAAAAAAAATTTTATGTGTATGTGTGTATTGCCTGCATGTAGGTAAGTGCACCTGTCTCGTGCAGTGCCCGCAGAGGACAGAAGAGGCTGTTGGATCCCCTGGAACTGGAGTTACGGACAGTTGTTAGCTGCTGTGTGGGCACTGGGATACGAACCCGGGTCTTCTGCAAGAACAACCGGTGTTCTTAACCACTGAGCCATCTCTCCAGCCCCATGGAGTCTTCCCTTTCAAAACAGTTCTTCGACATCCCTGATATACTTTTCAAGAATGACTTTGCTGATGAAAACTTGGTGGGTTCTGCTCAGAGATTTGGTTTGGAACACACACGCTGGGAACATTAGGCTCCCAGGCAGGAGAGGAGAGGAGGGCTACCACAGCTAGTGCCCTCTCCTGCTCCCTCCTGGGGCCAGGCAGCTCTTCATTTGGTGATTCCTACATGGAGTGCTGCTCCTCTTTCTGATCCCAGGACACAGTGGTTGAGATGGACTCAGCCACAGCAGCTCTGGCTCCCAGTGTGGCCCCCAGGGAACTGAGTCGGGCGCCACAAGGAGTGGCTTCTCCATCGTCACTTCCACACAGAGCCCGGAAGCAGGCACTGCCCGGGACAATGCTGCCCACAGTGCTGAGAATGTCAGCAAGACTCAGTCCTCTAAGGAAGGGGACAGGGTTGGCCACGGAACTTGCTGATACAAGTGCAGGGAAGGGAGGCGATTTCTGACTTCCTGGTAGGCGGAGTCAGCTGCCCACTCGCTGGTGATCAACCTGCTAGTATCTCTTAGGCCCTGTGGAGGTGGTCAGGTATTCTCAGATGCTGGAGACATGCAGAGATGCAAAGCCTGGCTTTGAGCTACAAGCTGCTTTGCTGACCAGCTATGCACATGGCTGGTGGCAGTCGTTCCCTGCCGACACACTGGTGCTAACCAGATGAGACTGCCAGCCCAGGTGTTGGGTAACCAGGGGCTCCTGGCTGCAGTGAGGGCTCTTACCTCACTCACTGCTTTCCTCAGAATCCGGGTTTCCTCAGCTTGAGACAGGTACTGAGCCTCAAACAGAGAGATGTTTTCTTCTAGCTGGTGGGCCCGAGCAGTAAGTTGGTCCACGAACAGGTCCTGGGAAAAAGAGAGGGACGGTAAGGACCTGTCCACCCCTGAGGACAATTCCCCACCGAGTGGCAAGTGCCTTTTTGGAAAACCAAAGATTCTGTGATAGTTAAGCATGAATCAGGGGCTGGCAGGATGGCTCCGAGGTTGAGCACACTTGCTGTCTCCCAGAGGATTTGGTTCCCAGCACCTACATGGGGCGGCTCATAGCCACCTGATTCCAGCTCCATGGATCTGACACCCTCTTCTGGCCTTTGCAGGCATCCAAGTTCGCAAGCGCACGTGCACACGCACACACACACACACACACACGTATGCACACACATGCACAGAAATACACGTAACTAAAACTGTTTATCAGGTTGCAAGAATACCTGCTTTTTCTTCTCGATCTCTGCACGAGTCCTCTCCTTCTCAGCCTTATTCACTACCTGCTTCATCACCTGGATGTCGTCTTGCACGTCCTGGTCTATGTTCTGCATGTAGAAGAGGTGTAGAGCCAGGCTCTCCATCTCGGTCTGCAGGGCTGCCACTGTGGAGAGGGAGGCTGCTCAGCACTGCCCATGTGGTATCCTGGGCCTGGAACCAGGAGTGAGGCTGTACCCTACCACATGCCTTCCCACCTTCATTAGGGGGATAGGGAGATTAAGTCTTTTTCTTTGTTTTTGCCACAGGGTCTTTCTCTGTAGCCCAGGCTGGCCTCTAAATAGTGACTCTACTATTCTCACCTCCTGAGTCTAAGATTACAGGCATCTGCTACTACACCTAGATTGGTGACTGCGTGTGTGTGTACCACTGTGTCCTCTGTAGAGGCCAGAGGCTGACTCAGACACTCTCTTCTATCACTTTCCATCTCCCCTGCCCCCTCTTTTTTTTTGTCTTTTGAGACAGGGTCTCACTATGTAGCCCTTGCTAGCCTGGAACTTGCTATATACACGAGGCTGGCCTCAAACTCAGAGAGCTCCACCTGCCTCTGCTTCCTGAGTGCTGGAATTAAAGGGGTGTGCCACCATGCTTGGCCTCTACCTCTTTTTTTTTTTTTTTTTGAGACAAGTTTTTTTTACTGAAGCTGGAGCTGACGGATTTGATGAGAATAGATGCAGCAAGCCCTCAGGCTCCTCCTGTCCCTGCCTCCCAGTGCCAGGATCACAAATGTGCCGCACTGCACCCAGCTCTTTAAATGTGCGCTGAGCATCCAAACTCAGGTCCTTAAGCTGAGAAAGCACTTTAACCACCGAGTCATCCATCTTCTCAGGCCCTGGACTGCTGCCAGAGAGTTTACACAATAATCAGAGGGAGAAAAGGATATCCATAATGGTGCTGGATTATAAGGCTTCATACCCATCACAGGTTTCTTACCAGTTAAAAGTGAGGCATCTTAATACATACAATACCCAGGCATGGTGGTGCAGGTCTGTAATCCCAGCACTTGGGAAGCAGAGGCAGGAGGATCATGAGTTCAAGGCCAGTCTGAGCAATCTAGTGAGATCATGCCTCGAAAAGAAGTATATATGGGCTGGAGAGATGGCTCAGTGGTTAAAGGCACTGGCTGCTCTTGAAGAGGACCTGGGTTCAATTCCCAGCACCCACATGGCAGCTAACAACCATCTATAACTCCAGTTCCAGTGGATTGGACACCCTCTTCTGACATCTGCAGGCACTTCATGACATGGGTAGATGTGTCCTCTGAGGGTACTAGAGACAGTCCCCTCTCCCATCCAGTCAGTCGGCTTCGTTTGCATGAGGGGAGGATCTAAGGAAGCACTGAGCAGCGTTGGTGATGCAGGGCCTGGCGGCTGGGACCTCAGAAGCTTCGCTGAGATGTGGGGAAAGAATCCATGGGTGTATGCCCTTGTAAGTGAATTTTTTTTCAGACTTTATAAACTTCATCCAAAACCCAAAATGGAATGCACAGTGTGTGTTTTGTTGGTCAGCGTGAGGACCACGTGGCCCCAGGATCCCAGAGTGCGTGTGTGCGGGTTTCCCAGGGGAGAATTTGGTGCAACAACTTACATAATGCAGACAATAAATTCATACACATAAAATAAAAACAATATTCTAAAAAGCGTATATCTATCTAACTATCTTGTAGAGGTATGTTCCACACCCACAAATCACTACATGCTACTCTTCCTCCTCCACATATTAGGGACCCTCTCTGTGGCCTTAGGATATTCAGAATGGTGCTGGATTATACCTATTTTTACCAGTTAAAAGTGAGGCATCTTAAGCAAAGCCTGAAGACTCCCAGGAGGAACCCGGAGCACAGGGGCCAGCTGAGTTCCACAGAAAGCCCTGTCCAGACAGGCCCAGGGCGATTCAGCGAGCAAGAGGATGGGTACTGCAATTTAGAGTTCCACAAGGGGCTTTTGTCCTTGAGGAATGGATTTCATTTAACAAAGCTCACAGGGGACTGCCATGAGGCTAGAACGACAACGTGTTAAGGAAGCTATGCCCCAGCCAACAGTAGTTTGCTCTGGCTGCGGGGTGCAGCTCAGTGGTGAGTACCTGCTGGCATGGGTGTGGCCCTGGGTTGCACCCCACAGTATTGCAAAAATACATAAAGACAGATAGGTAGGCAGATTTGTCTGTACACTGGCACAGAATCTTCCTTGTTCAAAGGATGGAGCTATGCCAAAGGCTGAGATACAGGTCAGAAAGCTGTTGGGTGAAGACTGTATTGGGGTCAGGTGTGCTTGAAGGATTGTGATGGTTTGAATGAGAATGTCCCCCATAGGCTCCAAGTATTTGGACATTTTGTCCCCAGTTGGTAGCGCTGTTTTGGGAGGTCTTAGAAGGTGTGTCTATGCTGGAGGAAGCACGTCACTGGGGGTGGGCTTAGAGTTCTTAAGTCTTGCCTTATCTCCAGTAGCTTGCTCTTGCTTCTTGTGCCTGTGTGATGATATGAGAGCTTAGCTTCCACTCCTCCAGCTACTTCCTGCCACCAAGCCTCCCCACCATGATGGACTGTAACTCCCCTGGAGCCGTAAGCTCAAATAAAGTCTTCCTTCTATAGGTTGGTTTGGTCAGTGTTTCTATCACAGAACAGAAAAGTGACTAACACAAGGACATTGCTTAGACATGAAAAGAAGCCACAAAGTCTTAGAACACAACATCAAGGAGAATCTTTTGGGGCTAGAGAACTCTGGCTCCTGTGGTAAGGCTTCCCAGGAAGAACAGAAGTTGGAGGCTGGTTTGAGGTGTGTCCTGGCCCCTCTGTGCACAGTGTGACTTTCCTCCTCTGGTGGCTGCTGGGAGTTCCCCTGTTGAGGGTTTTAGTCACTTGCTTGCTTTATGCTTGGTGCTGTTTCCCTCATGCATTCGGGCTCAGGGTTTGTTGTGCTTTTTGGACACATGGGGTTGCGGTTGTCCACACTGTGTGCAGCTTCTCACATATGATGTCTTTAAGTATTCCTTTGGTTCCCCATTCCTCTAATACATGTGCCTAGGTCCAATGAGGGGCTCAAAGCCCGTGGAGTTCCATTCTCCCTCACCTCTTCTGTCAGATTGTTTTGGGCTGCTTCCAGGGCCGTGACTTTGCCTGTTTTGACACTCATGGGCTCCTTCCTCTCAGTGAAAATGGTAGAGGAAGCATGGGCTTGATCGATCTGGGACAGGTGTTGCCTGATTGCTCTGCAAGGGGACAGACCAATTGATCCTCCATTATGGTCTGACCTCTGCCACCCAAATCCATGCGCTGACACTCCTACCCCATAGCATCTTGGTATGTGGCTGCATCTGGGCACAAGGTCTTCAGAGTGGCGATTAAGATTCAATGTGGTCACTGTGGTAGCCCTAATCCAGTCTGACTGGTGTCCTTATGAGGGAGATCAGGACACAAGGGAAGGACCTTGCAGGAATACAGGGAGAAAACTCCACCCACCATCGGAGAGGGGCCTTAGTCCTGTCAGAACTGTGAGTTATCTGTTGACCGGCAACCTGGTCCTTAGAACTTCGTGTAGCAGCTACTTCTCCCGTCCACCTGAGTGTGCGTTACACACTTCCTGAGCGTGCTGTGGTCAACACTCTTCCAGCTGAGTAAATGAATGTCAATATTTCAATTGTTCTTCTAAGTTTCCATCCCTTCGGCTGTTAGTAAGCGTAAATCGGTTTCACTGTTTCTCCTCAGGATGGCCGGCTTGTCTCCTCCGCCGTTCTCCTGTCAGCACCTGAGAGCTCCTTGTGTAATAAACGCATGACCGACAGAATTTTTGCAATGGCTCCCCTGGCTCTGCCCCTCGGTGGTGTTACTCTGTGGTCATATTATACATCAAAAAGGGAGATTATGGGGTGGCCTAGCCCAGCAGGGAGCCCTCCGAGGGCAGAGGGCTTCTGCCAGATGGCAGCCGAGAGGGAGGAGTCCAAGGGTGGAAGGGGTGGGATTTGACAGGAAGGGTTCTTTCCTTCCTGGCTTGAGGGTGAGGCTAGGTGGAGAACGCGGGTGACCTTCCGGAGCAGAGCATGTAGCCTTATTAGCAGCAAGGACCATGGGGTACCAGATTTCATCAACAACTGGATGAGCATGGGCACAGGTTTTCCCTAGAACGCCACAAGAACCGTCTCCCATGCCCGACGTCATGGATATGACTTGGGGATCTGGGCGAAGACCTGGACCGCCATACAGATGTCTGAGCTGCAGAGCTGGGAGCTGAACCGTGGCAGGAGCGGGGCCAGGTCCTGGTTGTGGCAGATGTCGAAGACATGCGTGGATGATATTCCAGATGCTTCATCCCTCCCCACCAACCCGTATTGTCTATTTTATGCTTCTGCGTAACCAAGTCTGTTAAAGTCCTCCCCTGCCTCTCTGTCATTCCGAGCTGAGACAGATCACCATCACCATTAGATCAAAGAGCACCTTACGTACACGTCTCACACTTTTCCAATTTTCTTAGATCCAAGTTGTACCTTTTTCTCTGTAAGGTAAAGTAGCCATCTGTTTTAGTCAGGGTTCTCTGGAGGAACAGAACAGAACCCGTAAATGAATATACATTAAATTAGATATATATTAAATGATGAGTGACTAGATTGGCATACAGGATACGGGTCAGGGTAGTCCAACAATGGCTGTCTCACAGTGGAGAGGCTGAGAATCTGGTCGTTGCTCAATCCACAAGGCTGGATGTCTCAGCAGTCTCAAATCAAGTTTCCTTCTGCCACATCCTTTAATCTGGGCTGCGACCAGAAGGTATCACGCACACTTAGTGTGGGTCTTCCGACTTCAAATAATCTGATCAAGAAAATCCCTTAGACGTGTGCCAGTGCTGTGACTCGGGGCCTGGTCCTGGGTGCCATCCTCACCTGGCTGGATGACTGCCACTCCCGACATCTTCTGATCACACAGGGCCTACAGAGTTGCTTGGCTCCTTCCAGAAGCCCACCCACTCTGTGAGCTGCAGCAGAGTGAAGCCATGCAGCACGATTGATGCTCCTTCCTGTCCATGGCTGCGGGGTCTTGTGTCCAGGCCTCCCTGAACATGTGACTGGGCTGGGCAGGCAGCGTGTGTCTGCCTTCAGCGTGTCTGAATTCTATCATATCTGGAAAATGGGGCTGTTCAGTGTCAATGTCAAGGCTGTGGTCCGACTTTGTTCCTTTCTCTTAATTTGGAGGTAAGTAGGGAGAGGGTCTTGATAACGCTCTGAGTTGAATGCGTCCTCTTAAAAAGCAATGACTGGAAACTTGGCCCCCAATACAGCAGTGCTGGGAGCTGGGAGCTAATGGGAAGTGCTGTGGTCACCAGACTCCACCCTGGCTGCTGAGGGAAGAAGCCCGGAGTTCTCTCTCTCCTTCTGCCCTTCCCCCTCCCCTTAGCCATGGGATGGTGCATCACTGGACAGATGTTGGCCCCTTTGTCTTAGACTTCCTGGCCTGCAGCGTCATGGGCCAGAGCGTGGATAGAGTGCTTGCCTAGCATGCTTGAAGGCCTGGGTTTGATCCCCAGTACCGAATAAACCAGGTGTGATGGCACATGCATGTCACCTCAGGCAGCAGGAGGATCGGAATGAAGTTCAAGGCCACTTTGGGCCACATGAGACCCTGACTCAAAAAAAATTTTTTTTCCTGATCTTTCTGTCAATGGCCTAACAGGATTCTGTTATAGCTGTACCAGACAGAAAAGCCCAGAAACTTCAGCTCAGGGTTTGAAGTAAGTCTTCCCAACACAGAGAGACAGACAGACATGCCATTCTGTCTTCCTCCAGGTGATTTTTACATTTCCCTATCATGTTAGTAATACCATCGACAAAGGAAGTTGGTTGAAAACATCAAAATGTACACGGAATGCGTAGGGACCAGGTGAGGGAGCCACTGCTCGCAGTCCGCGCCTCCTCTGCCCTCAGCTCAGTTTGAGGAAAGTGGCTTTAGGGGAATACTGCCCATCTCACCTGACCCAAAGCTCCCTGGTCTCCGCTTGGCTGCCACAACTGGCCTCTCCCCTCTCTGGGCCCCACCCACCTGACTGCAGCCTCTGCAATCACCTTTGGACCTCTACAGTCCCTCCCTGCATCTGGTTTGGAGTCTCTACACCTGAGTGTGGTTGATTTGGGCCTTTGCTACTGTTGCCAGTGAGACGCCTTTTAAGGGACGGATGGGCCCTTCCTTGCCTAAAAAAGACAGGAACCCTTCTTGGACACGACTGGCTTGCCGGCATCCCTCCATGACAGAGGGACACACACTTGGGGATACCCATGGAAGGGATGGCCCGGGATCGACGGGTTCATGGGAACCTCACGCTTTCTGCGTTCCTCGTTGGCTGTAGCACAGGTCTTGTCGTAGAGCACACGGGCGCTCTGCAGCTCCTCCTCCTTCCGCCTCCTCTCACAGGCGGCGATGGAGTGGCGGTCATGGCTCTGCTCCAGTTGCATCTGCAGGCGGGCCAGGCGCTGCTGGACCCCATAAAGAGTCACACCCAGCTCCTGCCGCCGGACTCGGGTTTGCTTGGTGGCTACATCCTGTCCCAGAGAGAGGAAGAGGGTCATGAAAGATCTGTGGGCACACAGACTGGGTGGAAGACCTTGCAACCCTTACGCACCAGCTCTTGAATTTCCAGCCTCAGCTTGTCCACCTGCCGGTTGAGGTAGCTCTTTAGGGCCGCCTGGAATCTGATCATCAGGGGCTAAGACAACAGAAAACACTATGTCACTCTATCGTTCTACACAGGGCTCGGTCTAGGGTCGAGCCCTAGGCTCAGCTCCGGTGTCTCTTCCTCTGTGTGTGGGGATGGGATGCAGAAGGTGAACATCGAGGATCCCCAATTGCTACCGTTTCTCAGGAATCCACAGGTTCAAGGCACCTTATGGCCCATCCCAGATACGACAGTTTTGGCCGAGGGATAGTGGGCTGCTGGGGGCGGGGGGTGTCAGTCTAGATTTACCAGGGGCCCTTGGGAGGTCACAAGCGTCAGGTAGGGTGCCAGTGTCGAGTGAGTGCTGAGGATTTTCCTGGTACACCTGAGTTTCCTGTGTGCTCCCTGAGTGTCTCAGCTTTCCAAATGGGTTATTCAAATTAAATTTGCCTTTCTCTTGTGTAGAGGGGCTGGGAGGACGGCACAGTTAAGGCAGTGACTCTCAGTGGGAGTGACTCTGCCCCCTGAGCACCCTCCCACTGTCTACCAAGTCTGGACACATTTTTGGTTGTCAGGACACAGGGGAGGGGAAAGTGTGAGTCGGAAGCGGGTGGAGGCCAGGGAGTGAGCTCAATGTCCTATGGGATCCAGACCCCTCCACGAAGAACGGTCAGGCCCCACGTGCCAGTAGGGGTCAGGAAACATATACTTTGGGAATACGAGCCTTTAAAGAACACATTCTATAAAGTAGGAGGCCTAACATGCCCTGAGGCCCCAGGCAGCACTGGGTGGTTGGTCCGAGGAAAAAAAGGGCCCAAGTCAAACTTCACCTGTGTAGGGTGAAAGCAAAACCCAAAGATGGTTTCTTACGTGGTCGGGGTCCAGAACCACCAGTTGGGCTCCCTCTTCCTCCGCCTCGTTGCTCCCTTCAGGCACCACCCTCTCCACCAGGGCCTGTTCATCAGGGCCATGGGGCTGAATCTGGTCTGGGAACTGCCGGCAGGTTTCCTCCTGCGGGTGGGCTGGGATCTGCTCTGCGAGGACCCATGGGGGAGAGATAGCAAATGTCACAGAAGCCTTAAGGATGAAATTCTGGGGGTGGGGGCGGGCATCAAGGCTGGTCCCACCCTCAGAAGACATGATGAAGACGGGAAAGGAGAGGTGTCCCGGGGTGAGGACTCAGGACCAACCTACAGTGTCAACCAGCCATTAACTCAGCACATTGCACAGACAGAGCCACATTCTAAAAAGGGCTTTGGATCCCTTGGAACTGGAGTTATAGGTAGTGGTGAGCCACCTGACCTGTGCACCGGGAACTGAACTTGGGTCCCCTGGAACATGAGTAGGTGCTCCTAACTGCTGAGCCGTATCTTCAGCGCCAGAAATGAAATTATGAATACACAGAATTCGTGGCTTTTCCATCCATGTGTGCTGGAGTGGTCCCTGGTCTTTTGTTTGTTTGTGATTATTATTTTTTTTTCCTGAAATGGGGTCTTGCTATGCTGACCAGGTTGGTCTAAAGCTCCACGGCTCAGGGATCCTCCTGCCTCAGACTTCAAGCTGCTGGGACTTTAGGTGCAGCCTCATATCCATTTTTTTGTGGACTAGGTCTCATGTGTGCCAAGCAAATACTACCAATGAGCTGCAGCCCCATTTTTTTTTTTTTTTTTGGTTTTTTTGAGACAGGGTCTCCCTGTAGTCCCCGAGCTGTCCTGGAACTCACTATGTAGACCAGGCTGGCCTTGAACTCACAGAGATCCACCTGCCTCTGCCTCCTGAGTGCTGGGGTGACTGCAGGTGTGCACCACCATACCCGGCTGCATCCCCATTTTCTACAAGCTAGACCTGCCCTGCTTTCATGGTCCTTATGGATAAATGTGCAGCTTTGTGGGCTGGACCACTCACGTGTTTGTATCTAGGGAATAAGCACTCTCCCAATCTGCTCCCCATGTACATAGTGCCAGGATGCCACAGGCAGGCGAGGACACGGTGTGCACCTGGCTGGCTTTTCACACTTACTCAGACAGAGGCACATGGGTGGGAAGCTATCTCAGGGTTCTGTTCCCTGAGACCAGGAGGCAGCTGGGGGTCAGTCCGGGCTCTGCGGGCTGAGATGTCACTGGCTCTAGATTAAGTCCCTCTCTTCAGCTCACCGGGATAAGTTACAGAATGGTTCTCAGGGTCCCCATCTACACAGTGGCGCGTGGTTTCTACATCATTGTGTTTGTGTGAGGACTCAGCACAGTAAATGCTTGATAAAAGCTATCCATCTCTGCTGAAAATATGTTTATCTTTAGCCTGCCAGCTCCCACAGGAGGCAAGGTGATGCGTGTAGACTGGCAACCTCAGCTGCAGGAAAGGGGTGGTATGCTGGCTTATCTGTTGCCAGGACAACCCTGACAGGTGCACTGGTACCTGATTCTTGCTCAGAGGCCTCCTCTGAGTCCAGGTGGAAATCTTCCATCTCCGAGGACCCCAGGCTGCCCACAAGGCTCAGTCTGAAGCGATGTCGCGCCCCCATAGGAAAGACCTTCTGATGTGGACCTGGGCGTGTTTGCTAAGGTAAGAACAAGAGGAACAAATAAATCAGTGAGGGCTTCGGTGGCTTGGACAGGGTTTAATTATGTCCCCTCCCGCAGGGGTTCTGGTGATAACTTGGTTCCCAGGGTGGTACCACTGGGGTCTGGCAGAACCTTTATAGGGCAGGGCCTGGTTCAAGACCCTTAGAGTGAGCTGCGGTAGTTCTCTTGCAAACAGGGAGAGGTTGTGGTTCGGGGAGCAAGCTTGGTCCCTCCCCACTGCCTCTGCTACACTCAATCCAGCCAGTGCTGACTTCCATCCTGTGAGGTGATAGAGTCCAGGGGGCCCTCACTGGAGCCGGCACCATGCTGTCTGTACTTTCAACCCCTGAACCTTTGACCTAGTTAAACCTCTTCTTTGTTTGTTTGTTCATTCTTTGGTCTTTTAAAGACAGGGTCTCCTTGTAGCCACGGCTGGCCTGGATTTGCTATGGAGACCAGGCTGGCCTCAAACTCAGAGATCCGCCTGCCTCTGCCTCCCAAGTGCTGGGACTAAAGGCGAGCGCCACGCCCGGCTAAACCTCTTCTTTGTAAGCAGCCGGTGTCTGGTGTCTCACGGGGGTGAAGCAAAGCTGGCTGTGTTTAGTCATAGCTGAAAAGTGATTGGATTTTGAGTCAGTGCTTGTTTAGGGTTAGACATCATTGCTAGAGCAATAGAAAGTTGTCTAGATGTAGAATTATCTGACTTGTGCAAATCGTTGATGTAGAAAACATCTAGCTCTTGTTCTAAGGACTGGGGTGGTGTTTGCCCTCCTGGGCCTCAAGCTAAGTGTAAATGCCCATGGCCGGTGTGTGTGGACCTGGGAAGACCCTCTAGTGTGTGCCATGCTGTCAGAGGCTGGCAAGCACACCCTGAGCTCACTCCTCATGGAAGCATGCTTTCGCTCAATGCACTCCCACCGAGAACCCCTCAGAGGGCTGCTTCCTGCCCTCTTCCCTCATACCACCTCTCTTCAAGGAACCCTTGCAAGAAAACATCTAAACATCTTCCCTTGCTATGGACATTTGGCCTTTTGGTTTCTAGCCCAGGCTGGCCTGACACCCACAATCCACCTGCCTCAGCCTCCTGAGTGACTGGGATTACAGGCATGCACCATTGTGCCTGGTGACATGTGGCTTTTGAACGTACTGTTCTGAGCCATCATTACCGCTGCTGCTGAAGTAAATGTAGCCCCAGCGAAGGACTGGATAGTGCTACACCTACCGCAGAGAACACCATACAAACATCATCTCAGGCCCACTCCACAGCCCCATGAGGCAGGTAAGATGCAACTGCACAAGGCAGAAAGCCCACCGGAGTGTCTGCAGTCGGCCAAAGGCAGGTGGAAGGCTAGCCATCTCGGTCCTGTCTTTCTCACCGAACTTCAGATGAAGTAGCCTCTAGAACTTGGTTCTGAGTCACCCAGACCCATGAGGGACATTAGGGGAGACTCAGAGGCAAAGGCGCCATCAAGGGCTTTGAATGGGAAGTTGACAGGGTCAATGCTCGCCCCAGCAGTCCCTCCTTCACTTCTCCTCAGACTGAGATCCAGCAGGGAGATGGGAAGGGGGACTCTCAGGATGCGTCTCTACCCCCCTGGCTGGTCGTCTTTGTTATTAATTTTTAAGATTTTACGTGTATGAGTGTTTTTGCTTGTGTATATGTAGGTGCATCTGTGTCATGCAATGCCCACTGAGGCCAGAAGAGGGTGCTGGATCCTCTGGAACTGGAGTTTTGGACAGTTGTTAGCCACCATGTGGATGCTGGGAATGGAACTGGGGTTCTCTGGAAGAACAGCAAGTGTTCTTAACTGCTGAGTCATCTCTGTGGCCCTGGCTGATTGTCTTTGAAAACTGTTTCCCGGTGAATTTTCAAGACACCTGCCCCAGGGATAGAAATTCGGTAAACAGCACAAGTGACTTATATGTCACCCACACAGCAGTGAAGCCCTACGCAACTGTTGTTCTTGATGTCAAATTCATCATTTTTATGGTTATTTTTTGCGGTACAGGGGGTTTGAACCCAGGTCTTCATGTTTGCTAGGCAAGCACTTTACCACTGAACCACACTCCAGCCTTTAACAGTGGGTTTGATCACTGAGCTTAACTGGGGTTCATCAAACATGGATCATGATATTCTCCAAAGTTATCAACTCCTGCTTTTACAGAGTGGGGAACTTCTGGGTTCAGGACAGTGGCTTTGAAGCACTGTCCTTACCCTAGGCTACAATTAGTGTCAGCTTTATGACTAGGGCTAATGTTAGGGTTAGGGTAAGGTCAAAGAGCTGCTGTGTGTCGTAAAGGTGGCTTGGCCTTTTTCAAGGAAGCCCTTTAATTCTCTTTATCTGCACACTGGGGACAATTATGCCTCCCACCTGCAGGGCTACTGACACGGTACACATCTGCAGCCTGGGCGGATGTTCAGAGAATATCCTGTCCTCTTTCCTCTCCTTTCCCCTTCCAGAACAATTCACACCTAAAGCCCACAGGTGGGATGAGGCTGCTGGGCTCCTTGGGGAGGGTGCCCTACCTGGGGCAGGTCTCAGGAGGAGTGGAGGCTGTGGGAGGGGACAGGGAGATGGCTAGTTCTAGGTTCAGTGAGAGACTCTGTCTTAAAAAAACAAGGTGACCAACTAGTGAGGAAGACACCTCACACTGACCTCTGGCAGCCACAAGTCCACACACACACACACACACACACACACACGCACACACACACACACACACACACACACGAGTCAGTGTTATCTATCAAATCAAAAAACTAGAAAAGAAAAACACAGAATTATCTTCTCAATAGGAAAAGGGAAAACCCGGAAAAATCCAACGTGATTTGTTTGATGATAAATAAAAATGTCACAGAACCCAACAAGCCAGGGATGGAGCTTCTCGGAGCCGGTAAGTGACACATGCCAACACCTCACAGCAAACTTCCTCTTGCACAGAGAGAGGCTGAACTATGGGAACTGAGGACACAGCTCGCTCACTCCAGCAGCATCATGCCGGGGCTGGCTAATGTGCCTGGGGTGGGGGACAAGAAACAGCAAGAACAGAAAAGGAGGGAGCCAGCTCAGGACGGAAACGGGAAAACAAGCTGCTTTTCTTAGAGCACAGATCATCTTTCAGAACGAGATTATGGATTCTCCAAACAGGCCCCTCTAAGGAGTAAGGGAGCTTGGCGACACTGCAGAACATGTTTATTGTGGTCTTTTTGAGACAGGGTCTCCCTGTAGCCCCAGATGTCCTGGAACTCACTATGTAGACCAGGCTGGCCTTGAACTCACAGAGATCCATCTGCCTCTGTCTCCAAATTGCTGGGATTAAAGGGGTGTGCCACCACGCCCAGCTAGGATGATATATTTTAAAAGGCAACAATTGCTCATACCAGGAACAAACAATTGGAAATTATTGACACTATCATCACAAAATGATAAAGTGGGGTCTGGGGAGATGGCTCAGTAATTAAGAGCTTATACGGTTCTTTCAGAGGACCAGAGTTCCATTCCCAGCACCCACATTGGGTGTCTCATAATCACCTGTAACTCCAGCTCTGGGGGATCTGGCACCCTCATCTGGTCTCTTTGGGCACCTGCATGGACATACACATGCACACACACATGCATGCATCCACACATGCACACGCGCACACACACACATCATCATGTATTAAAATAACTCACTTCCACCTGGCGTGGTGGCACATGCCTTTAGTCCCAGCACTCGGGAGGCAGAGGTGGGCGGATCTCTGTGAGTTCAAGGCCAGCCTGGTCTACATGGTGAGTTCCAGGACAGCTGGGGCTACAGGGAGACCCTGTCTCAAAAAGACCCAAAATAAAATAAAATGAAATAAAAACAATTTTTTTAAATGAAAAACTAAGAAATTACTCAGAGATAAATCTGGCAGAATATATTCCAGCATCACCAGGTGCAGCACCACCTGGTAGCTTTGCCCAGGGGCCACAACCCAGTCTCCTCCTGAGGGAGGGCCTGGAAGACTCACATAGAGGGGCACTCTATAACAGTCAGGGGACTGTCTTCTCAAGGGTCCAGGAGAGACTGGGAAGACTAAAGAGGAGGGACAAGACAGCTCAAGGTTCCACTCGGGATCTCTGCTGAGAGTCACCTTTGGACATTTGGTAAGCTGAATGAGGCCTGAGCACTTCCAAGGGAGGAGGAGGCGGGACTGCCTGATTTGCTTTCCCCATGGTGCTGGTGTCACCCAGCACGCTGGGCAAGATCTCTACCCTTGAGCTGCCCCTGCCTTAGTTCAGGTTTCTTTCTTTCTTTCTTTCTTTCTTTCTTTCTTTCTTTCTTGGCTTGAGGTATAATTCAGCTTTTCTTTCATTTCTTTCTTTCTTTCTTTCTTTCTTTTCTTCTTTCTTTCATTCAAGTTTTTAAAAATATCTTCTGAATTTAATATTGATAGGAAAAATAGCTTTAGGAATTTATAACTTTACTTTTATAGATTTTTGAAATACCATTCATCAAGTTATTTCTTAAAAATGTTCAGAATTTCACTGGCGTCTGTTTTTAATGACTTCGCCACTGTAGTTTAGGTTTTATTTTTTAACTTATTTATTTTTATATTTCCTTCCTCCCTCCCTCCCTTCCTTCCTTCTGTTTATTTTATGTGTACGAGTGTATTGCCTGCATGTGTGTACGTGCACCCGTGTCATGCAATACCCTTGGAGGTCAGAAGAAGGCATCAGATCCCCTGCAACTGGAGTTACGGACAGTTGTTAGCTGTCATGTAGGTGCTGGGAACTGAACTCGGGTCCTCAGCAAGAGCAGCTAGTGCTCTTAACCACTGAGCCATCTCTTCAGCCCTTTAAAATTTTATTTTTACGTATATGTGTATGTGTATGTGTGTTGCCTACATGCATATAAGTGCCTGTGGAGGTCAGAAGAGGGTGTTGGATCCCCTGGAACTGGAGTTATGGACAGCTGTTAGTTGCCATGTGGGTGCTGGTAATTGAACCCAGGTCCTCTTCAAGAGCAGCCAGTGCTCTTAACTGCTGAGCCATCTCTCCAGTTCCTTGGTTCAGGTTTTAATGCTTGTACCACAGCTTTGTGGTGTTTTGTTTTTGTTTTGTGTTTTTTTTTTTTTTTTTTTTTTGGTAACAAATTCCTCCAATTGAAACATTCTATCCTAGAATCAATTAAGTAAACAAAACTTACCAGTTCAGGAAAGCTGAACCTTACAAGATTCACAAGGCCCCTTCCCAAGGTATGTGAGTAGTAGAGATTTTCCGGGGAGAGGAGATTCTGGGAAGGAAGCAGGATCCACCTGCATCCAGGGACAGAGCTTTCATTGGGCACCACCACGCTGGGCAGGCTTTTTGGTGATGCAGCTGCCTTGGCTCCCCATGCTCCTGTAAGTGACCCCAATAAACCCACTGGTTGGACAAGCTGGACTTTGGTGGAATCTTTATTTTGGCCCGTTGGTTCCTTATCTGGGTTGAGTAGACATTTGTTCAGGTCTCCCCAGAAATAGCATCACACAACACCCTGTGAGAAACCCATCTAAAGGCATTCAGAGGTTACAGCACATTGGATTCACAACTTACCTCCAGTGATTAAGAAAATAGCACGTGCTTCCATTCTATTTCATTTTTTTCTGTAAGTTTGTGATTATTTTAAAATAAAAAAAATTAAATTTGGGCTGGAGAGATGGCTCAGTCATTAAGAGCACTGACTGCTCTTGCAGGGACTTGGGTTCGATTCCCAGCACCCAGATGGTGGCTACAAACCGTCCTTAACTCCAGTTCCAGGGGAATCCGAAGCCCTCTTCTGACCTCCGTGGCATTGCACGACGTGGGTGCGCTCACATACATGCAGGCAATACACTCATACACAGAAAATAAAAATAATAAATCAAAAAAAATTGAGGGCCAGGCACAGTGTCACATGCTTTTAGTCCCAGCACTTGGAAGGCAGAGGTAGGCGGACTGGAGAGATGGCTCTATGACTTTGAGGCCAGCCTGGTCTACATAGTGAGTTCTAGGATGGCTGGGCTACACAGTGAGACCCTGTCTCAAAAACCAAAACCAAAAAAATTTAGAAATTTGAAAACGAAAACTGTAGAAGTGCAAGTATTTTCAATGCTTTTATCGAGAACTATACTGGTATATTCCACCAGTCAGCCACGAGTGGAGAACACCGCTCATGGCGGCAACTGCCTAGCACGCACACTGCCCTAAGTTTAAGATCCAGCACCACCCCAAACAAACAACAACAGAAAACGAAACTCCAATATGTAAGCCACTAGCAATACATGCTTATTTAAATGTAAGTGAATTTGATTATTGAGATCTCTTGATGAAGCCTAAGCTGGCTAGGAGTTCAAGATCTTCCTGCCCCAGCAGGAAGGAATCCCAGGTACTGGGGTGGCAAGTGAACACTACCATGTCTGGCTAATTTGAATTTTGAGGAACGAGAAATTCGATTCCTTTCCACTGCTACCCATGTTTCATGAAATAAGCATGTGTACCCGTATGACTGTGGCCACCTTGTCGGGGACCTGGATGCCCTCGCGTGCGTGGATGGTAGCCAGATGTCACCCACCTCAGGATCTCTCAGCATTGAATGGAGATTCTGGGACATGCATTTGCAAAGACATTCCTAACAAGGGTGGCAATACTTGGTGACAGTGCATCTTTAAGCTCCTCACATTGGATGACAAACCACATGGGCAGTAAAACAGAGGGGCAACTCACCGCTCTGTCCTCTTGGGTTCTCACCTCTTCATACGAGCTACGCCGGGATACCTCGGCAGAGGCAGGCATGGTTCTCTCATACAGAGAGGCAGCCCTTGCTTCCTCAGCCGACAGCTCCCAAGGACTGATATTTGTGTAGGTGAACTCAGCAGAGGTGATCCCATCAGAGAATTCAGCTTCCTCTTCCCCTGGGAATTCGTCTCCTCCTTCAGGGGTAGCTTCTCCAGTGAATTCATGTTCTCCTTCAGGGGCAGCCTCTCTGTCAGGGGCGGCCTCTCCATTAGGGGCGGCCTCTCTGTCAGGGGCGGCCTCTCCATTAGGGGCAGCCTCTCCAATGGCTTTGATTTTCCCTACAGAGACAGTATCTCTATTGGTTTCAATTTCTTGTTCAGGGATGGCTTTTTCAAAGGAGTCAGTTTCCTGTTCAGGGGTGATCGCGCCAAAGGATTCAATATCCTGTTCAGGGGTGATTGCTCCAAAGGATTCGATTTCCCTTTCTGAGGTGACCTCTCCAAAGGATTCAATATCCCCCTGGGAGGTGGCTTCCCAAGCAGATTCGTCTCCTTCAGGGACAGATTCTCCTTCAGCCCCAACTTGCTCATCATCCACAATTTCCCCTTCAAATCCACCATCACCTTCAGTTTCAACATCCTCAGAGGCACCTCGGACCTCCCCGGTTCCTTGATCATTGTCCGCCAATGATGGTGACGCCTGTTACACAATGGCAGGAGAACCCAGGAAATAAGGATTAAGAATCGAGAAAGGTGTTGGGAGCCCTGCCAAGACACTACTTTGTGCTTTAACTTGCTCCCAGGTTGGTGAGCTTCATTATGGGACCAAGTTCTGGAAAATGTTGGGCCGTCTAGGAGTTGGATATAAACTCAGCCTTTACGACTGATGACTGACACTTTGGAATGCAGTCCTAGCTAGTTTTAATTGTCAACCTGACATAGCCTAGAGTCATCTGAAGAGGGAGTCTCAATTAAGGATTGGCCAGGTAAGACTGGCCTGTGGGCCTGTCTGTGGAGGATGGTCTTGACTGTTAATTGATGTACAAGGGCCCAGGCCACTGTGGGCAGTGCCGTTCCCTGGCTGTAGCAAGAAGCTAGTCAAACGTGAGCCTGTGGGAGCCTCAACCTGCATGGTTTCTGTCGTACGTCTCGGCTGTGAACGAGTTATCTGGTTGGAGGTAATGCTGAGTGGAATGGCGAGTGGGCCTGCCTTCAGGTTCCTGCCTTGACGTCCCTCAGTGACAGACTGCGACCTGCAAGTGCAAGCCAAATAAATCTTTTCTTTCCCAAGTTGTTTTTGACCAGAGTGTTTTATCACAGCAACAGGGAACAACATGAACCAGGGAGGAAAATGAGGTTTTCTGAGTCTGAACAGGGACTGTCCCAGAGCAAAGGATCATGGTACCACAGGCCCTAGCAAATTCTATTTATCGCCTAACAAATAGGGGACCAGATAAACCTTCCAGAGGGAACTTACCTCATCGTCTTTGCCGTGCTGTTGTGTCTCCTCCTCCTGCTCAGAAGCTGCTCCATCTTCTGGGTGAGACCTGCTCTCAGAGACAGAGCAAATAGGCTCATATTATATCATGATGTACGCTGGCTGTTCACTGGTACAGCCTCTGGTTGTCCCGTTGCCAGTTAAGGACGTCCCCTATCACTAGATCATGCTTTTCAGAGGCCCCAAATTGGGTCTGAGGATGAATGAAAAACTCAGTTACTGGGCTGGAAAGATGGCTCAGTACTTAAGAGCCCCTGCTGCCCTTCCAGAGGACCCAAGTTCAGTTCCCAGCACCCATGCCAGGCTGTTCACAACTATGTGTAACTCCAGCTTCAGGGGATCGGACGCCCTCTTCTGAACTCTTCTGAGCATCTTCACTCGTGCACATACCCACACACAGAGGCACACATAAATAAAAACAAATCTTTTTAAAATGGGTATGAGTGTTTTGCCTGTGTGTAAGTGCACCCATGGGTGCAGTGCCCACAGAGGCCAGAAAAGGGTGTCAGATTCCCTGGTACTGGAGTTATAGAGGTTGCTAGCCACCAGGTAGAGCAACCAGTGCTCTTAACCACTGAGCCATCTCTCCACACCCTATAAAAATGTGTTGACCCTAGGCATGGTGGCGCATGCCTTTAATCTCAGCCTTTGGGAGGCAGAGGAAGGCGGATCTCTGTGAGATCGAGGACAGGCTGTTCTACATGGTGAGTTCCAGGTCTGCTAGTGTACAGGGAGATCCTGTCTCAAAAAGACACCCCTCCCCCAAAAAAAGTCTTAAAATATTTTGGCTTAAATTTTTTAAAAATAGGAACTTGGCACATGGTTTGGTAATAGTGCTTGCTGAGCAAGACAGAGGACCCGAGTCCCCAACACCCAGGTAAAAGCCAGGCAGAGTTGCATGTATATGTTTATAACCCCTGGCACTATGCAGGGTGGACAGGAGACTCTCTGGGACTTGCTGGCCATCAGCCTAGCTCAGCAAGAGACCCTGTGTCAAGGGGATAAGCTAGAGAGTGACCTGCTGTCCTCCTCTGGCCTCTGCATACACATGTCTCCCCAGCCCCACAAATACACCACACACACGATTTAAAGTACAAACTTTAAAATTTAATTTTATAATTAAATGAACATAGATAACGTGTTTCATAGACAGTGGGTACCCTGAGATTTCCTCCTCTCCTTGCCAAGACAACCTTCAGTAACAGACATCTAGGGTACAACTGCATTCTTTCTCCCTCCAAACTGGAGTCCCTTCTTTATTGGTTTGCAATCTGTCTTCTCATGTGAGGTAAACAGGACATGTTTCCATGTGAATACATAGAGACTTATTGTTTTTTCTTTTTGAGACAGGGTCTCCCTGTAGTCCCAGCTGGTCTGGAACTCACTATATAGACCAGCTGGCCTTGAACTCACAGAGATCCACCTGCCTCTGTCTCCTGAGTGCTGGGATTAAAGACATATATCACCATGCCCGCTGAGATTTAATCTTTTATTTTATTTTATTTTTTGGATTCTTAACAGCATATCATTTCAATTATAACCATTGCCTGGTACATGGAAACTAACAAAGTGTTTTTTTTTGTTTTTTTAAATGCATCATTGCAACATTGTAGTCCTGGTCATTTAAGTATACCAAACTATGAGTAAATGAATAAGTGCCTAGAAAGTATCATGATTTGTACTATCAGTGGCCACTGGACTTAGGACTAGTCTAAGACCTTGATCTAGATTTGACCTAGACTAGACTGTGATCTTGACTGAGATTTGGATCTAGGTGGTTCTTCTTTCCCTGATCCCTTTTCATATCTTGAGCCAGACTTACAGTGTGTTTTGGAATCTGTTTTAGAGGTGCCTCTAGTTTTGGTGTGAGATGCAGACCTAGAACGTGATTTAGCCTTCTTTTCTTTCTTGGGCTGGGACTTGGACCGTGATCTTGAATTGGATTTTGATCTTGAAAAAGATCAATTTCGGTGTTTGAATCTATCATTGTGGGAATGGCTTCTGCTACGCCATGGTCTTCCAGTTGGTCTACTGTTTCTAGGACTGTAAGATCTCCTATAGTTGTAATCAAAAGACCGACTCCTTGATCTCCTTTCATAACTCTGGCTTCTAGAACATTTGTATCTGTCATAATCATCACGGCGTGAAGAGCTGTACACACTCCTCCCTTCCTTGGCTTTCATTTGACTTGGTGTCTTCCGATCCCCCTGTGCAAACTGTATTTCGATTTGTTGCCCACAAATCCATTTTCTGTCCAAATTCTGTAAAGCATCTTCAGCATCAGGAACATCCTCAAATTGAACATAAGCAAATCCTCTTGGACGTCGAGTGTAGAAATCAAGTGGAACATATACATCTACTATGGGACCATAACGACCAAATTCTTGCCACAAGTCTTCAGACCTGGTGTTGTCTGCCTGGTGTCCTCTGCCACATTCCTGACGAACAGAGACGTGTTCGGAGCGCTAACTGGTTCAACAAACCGTCCACTGCTTCGGTGGTGGCTTACATTCACATTCACTCACACACACACACACACACACACACACACACACACACACACGCACACACAGAGCCAGTGGGCTCTGCTACTGCAACTGCCTCTTCGAGATTTAATCTTTTTAATTTAATTTAATTTTTGTCTTTTTGAGACAGGGTCTCCCTGTAGCCCCAGCAGTCCTGGAACTCGCTATGTAGATCAGGCTAGCCTTGAACTCACAAGTGCTGGGATTAAAGGTGTGCACCACCACTCCCAGCTTGAGATTTAATATTTTTTTAAAAAATGTGACACGAGGGTTGGGGGCTGGGGAGATGGCTTAGAAGTTAAGACAGTGTATTGCTCTTGCAGAGTACCCGAGTTCGATTCCCAGCATCCATGTTGGGCAGCTCACACACAGTACCTGTAACTCCAACTCCAAGGGATACCTGGATACCTCTGGCCTCTGAAGGCACTGCATACACACACGCACACGCACACGCACACGCACACACACACGCACACACACAGATACACATAATTAAAAAATTTTTTTAAACTGTGAGGACTGGAAAGATGGCTCAGCAGTTGAGAGCATGACTGATCTTCCAGAGGATCAGAGTTCAATTCCCAGCACCCACACCAGGTGTCCCGTACAGATGCAGGCACTCAGGTGGACACATCTACACACAGACACTCACACATGCATATAATAAAAATAAATCTTTTAAAATGTGAAACAAAAGTCAGGCATGCTGGTACACATCTTTAATCCCAGCCTTTGGGTGGTAGAGGCAGGAGGATCTCTATGAGTTCGAGGCCAGCCTGATCTACACAGTGAGTTCCAGGCCAGCTGGGGCTACTGGGAGACCCTGTCTCAAAATGACAAATAAATAAATAAATACTTAAACAAAAATTAAAAAAGTGAAACAACACGAAAGTGTCTAAGGAGGTTTCTGTTCTTTCACACAAAGACTAGCAGAGCTCTGGCAGCAGCATCTTTTTGGCCAATCCCATCTGCTAGGTACACTCGGTGTTGGGGTCTGCCTGTCCCCTAAGTCTATTACAGGGGACCCATTCGTGAAAGAGGGAGGTGCGGAGTCTGTCCAGTCTCTGACACAGCAAGTGTTCCTCCCCTCCTCTCTCCACCCCTACAATGCGGGTCAGCATCTCTCCAATCCATGCCTTGTTTTGCAGCCTGGACTGTCAGGCAAGGTGGTTGTTATGGATACCGCAGGGTGCACGAGTCCCGAGTCTTAGAGGGAGGCAGGGCCTGGGATGGGGGTGGGGGGTGTAGGAAAGGACAAAGGACCTGAGGTGAGACGAGAGAAAGGGTATGGGGGGGGCAGGGAGGGTTGAAAAGACCCAGAAAGTGGGGAGAAGGGACAGAGATAGTAAGAAAAAGGACAGAGAAGCGAAAAGGAAGGCGCGCGGGGGTGGAGGGACACCTAGGTGCAGAAGACCAAGGACCCCGGCTGGTTCACCACCAGTTATCCCCTCCACCCGGCTTACCCGCCAGCCTGGTCCTCCGGCTCCGCCATCTCTCGTTGCTAGGCTACACCGTCAACATCCGGCGAAGCTTGGGCCACGTGCTCCAAGAGCGCAGCGGGACGCTGCCGGCTGGCTGCGGTTCACACGCACACACTTAGCAAAGACGTCAAAGTAGAAATGTGTGATTTGTTCATCGCCCTGCATCCGCGTCTGCCCCGCCCGGACTCAGCTTCCGTAGGGCCGTCGTGCGCCCCGCCGGGCACCTTCGAGCCCTGGGACGCGGGCACGCAGGGTAGGGGATGCCGGGTCTGGGGAGTCCGCCGGGCTCCCGCCTTTCACCTCCAGCCTTGGGGGCCTCGGGCGTGTCTGTGAGGGGTCCTCGGAGGAGGACGGAGGCCCTTGGTGCGCATCATTATTTCGTAGCCCTGAACTTGGAAGCTGAGCGCAGGGGCTGAGCGCGCACGCGGGCATTGAAAAGCGCCGCCTCCCTAACCGAGGGCGCAGGGCTCCGACGCAGTGCAGAGTCCCGGGTACTCCGAGCGGAGAGGCCAGGAGATGCAGCCAGCCAGGGACCAGGGGCAGGCGCCCGGCGGGGATCCAGGGATGGAGACCCGGCTTGGGGATGGGGCGGCGCGAGCCTGGGCGGGCCCCGAGGGGAGCCGGGGCGGAGCGCGGGCGGACCGGGGGCCGGGCCTCTCCACGTCCCCGCCCCGCCGCGCCTGGCTGGAGGCGGCGGTGGCGGTGGCGGTGGCGGTGGCGGCGGCGGCTCCCGGAGCCGACGCGACTCCGGCCCCCGCGGCGGGACCCGGGTGAGTGTCTGGGCTCGTCTGGGGATGCGGGCTGGGACCCTCGGGGTCCACTCGGGACGGGGCAGCGGCGCCCGGTTGCGCTGGGATCCGGGCGCGAGCGGCGCGGGCCTGCAGCGCGGGGCACCGGAGGGACCCGGGACCAGCCGGAGGGACGCACGGGGCGGGGGCGATGCCGAGGGACCCCGATCTCGTCGGGGATGCCCTGGGGACTCCCTCCGTGGCCCGTGGGGCTCCCTGCGCCGGGAGTGGGCCCAGTTGGAGGAGACTGGGTCCTCTCCCGTCTGGAACCGTGGGCCCGGGCACTTGCGGTCTTTGTCTGGCTGTTAGGTCTGAGCATGCGAATAAGAACTTGTGGGGTTCCGGCACTGGCTGGCTGAGCCGGCAAAGTGTACCTTGCAGTCCCGGGGCGTGTGCTCTCAGCGTCCCCGGCCAGTGGGGGTGGCGTGGGGGGCAGGGATGGTGTGGGCGATTTAAGACCCACACCTTCTGGGTCCTCACCTCCTTTTGGCCTGGGCTCGCCTCTGTTCTTTCCTTCAAGAGAAAGAAAGGGATAGAAGAAAGAAAAAAGGACAATTTAAGATTGCTAAAAATACCCCGCGGAGCTCTGCCAGAACGCGGTGAGAACCGAAATCCTGTTATTCCTACACTCGGAAGTTGGTGTCATGTGTTGGCCCCGATCTAGTTCAGATTCTGTTCAGAAATAAAAGAATAGAAACGATGTGGAGAAAAGTGTCTCTTTCCTCCGGGTAAAGTTTGTTTCGCGGCCTTTGTCAAGTTCATGTGGAAACTGGATTGACTGGGCCACTAGATCCCGAGGGTACCTTTGCTGCCAGAGATTTCTCATTCTTTGGTGAGGATAGAGAGGGCGAGTGATTCTTAGAAATGTCCACGTCACCACGTCTGGGTGAGAGTTCAAAGACACGGGCACTGGGGCCACCGCTGTGTCAGAAACTTAAAGTCTCTGCCTTAGGAGCTGTGCAGTCCTTTGGAAGTTTCGGTGATTTTTGTTTGGTTTTGGCTTGTTTGACGGGGTCTCCCAGTATCTCTGACTGGCCTGGAATTCAGTATGTAGACCAAGCTGGCCACATTCTCACAGAGCTCTGCCTCCTCTGCCTCCCTAATGCTGGGATTAAAAGCCTCCACCACCATGCCTGGCCTGGTTATGGTGATGGTTAATAGCTCCTGATTATCACATGGTGCCCCAAACAGGCCCATGAACAGGGCTGTGGTTTATTCCCCCCCCCCTCTTTTTGTGATATGGTCTCACTGTGTTGCCTTGGCTGGTCTGGAACTTGTTATGTAGACCAGGCTGGCCTCAGACTCACAGACATCTGCCTGCTTCTACTTCCTGAGCTCTGGAATTAAAGACCTGGGCCACCATGAACACTTTACCATTTAAAAAAATAATAATTATATTTAATTGTGCGAGTGTGTGTCACAGTCTTAGTGTCCTTGTGGATGTCAGAGGACAACTTCCAGGAGTTGGACCTCTCCTGCCATGCTGATCTTAGGGATCAAACAACATTCAAGCTGTTAGGCCTGGCAGCAAGCGCCTTTACTTGCTAAGCCATCTAACAGATCCAGTTTATCCCCATTCTATGTGGAAACACCGAGAGGTGACGAGTTCCCCCATTAGGAGTGACCCAGCAGAGCCCCAGATGGCCCACCAAATTGTCCCATGCCTCCCCTCCTGTGACTGGCTGCAGCATCCTCATGCTCACACTCTGCCAGTGATTCATAAAATGGGAGGAAGTGGGGTACGTCTGTAGCACTAGATGCTGGGACCAGTTCGTGTTGAAGAGCAGTCCTGGCTTTGACGTCTTCAGGTTTGAGAGGATGGACAGATGGACAGCCTTTGGGTTGGCGTTGGAACCTGCTTTCTTTGGCCCTGGCCTCTCCGCCCCTAGGTTTGATTGACAAGGTGCAGTGATAAAATCATGGGCCATGGTGTCTTGTGACTGCAGTCCTGGCACTGGGGAGGGTGAGGTTGGAAGGACTCCTGTGAGCCCAAGGACAGGCTGGGCTCTATAGTGACCTGAGCTACAGAGTAACATTCTGTCTCAAACCAAACCAAACTAACAACCAAACAAAACCCCACATGGCCTCCAAAGATAGACCCTAGGTTCAAATTACACCCGTATTAGTTCTTAGGTGATTCTCTTGTGCCTTAGTTCTTCAAGGACTTGTTGGGAGGATTACAGGAGGCCCCAAGTGCTGGCATATGGTAAGTACTTGCTAACTTTTTCTTTATTTGATTGTTGAGACAGGGTCTCACTCTATAGCCCTAGCTGACCTGGAACTCAAGGTGTAGACCAAGCTGGCCTTGAATTCACAGCTAACCCACTCAGTCTAATTAGTGATGCCCATATATGTATGGGTGTGGGTGATCCTTTGGAACACAGGAAACCTACTCTGGAACACAGGAAACCTACCAGTGGACACACCCTCAGAAAGGAATAATTCTACCTTCCCAGTACCTATCAACTTACAGTTAGCTCCTCAGTAAGAAGTGGGACCTGGTGATCCTCTCCCCATCTATGTGTGAGTTTGGACCAGCTTAATCTTGTGCGGGTCACCACGGCTGCTGTGAGTTCATGAGGGTCCTGAGTGTAACAGCCATGTCATGTCCAGAACACCGTGTCTCACACTCCTCCCCATCCTCCGGTTTTTCCGTTCTTTCTGCCCTCTCCTCATGCTGCCCAAGCCTTGGCTCGGGGTGGAGTGTTGGTAAAGATGTCCCGTATAGGGCTGAGCACTGAGTCTCTTGTCCGCGTTTTGACCAGTTACATACCTCTGCATTGTCCACTGCTCGCTGCGAAAAGAAGCCTCTTTGACGGAGGTTGAGTGCAGCCCGGGTTCTAAGTGAGAACTAGTCCCCCAGACCGCAGCGTTCTCTTTGATCCCTGTGCAGGTGGTTCACTGAGTAGAAAGATGATCCGAATCCAGCTCCTTTCCTCTGTGGCACGAGATTGGCCTCACACATCATCGTAAGCAAGCACTCTACCTCTAGCTACATACCCAGGCCTCATGAAACCGTCCACACTGACTTTAGACTCACTGGGTAGCCATAGCAGGTTTTGAACTTGTGACCCTTCGGCCTTAGGATCCTCTAGCTACATACCCAGGCCTCATGAAACCGTCCACACTGACTTTAGACTCATTGGGTAGCCATAGCAGGTTTTGAACTTGTGACCCTTCGGCCTTAGGATCTTGAGTAGCTGAGGTTACAAGGTCTATACCTGGAGGCCTGGTCATACTCTTAACCCTTGTAACTTGGATTGGGGCTGGGTCCTCCAGGCTGTTTTGGGGACCAGGGTCGATCAGGTTACCTGGCAACACAAATCCCCAATGAGATTCCAGCTTGTCCCTCCTTGTAACTGGGAATTTTTTTTTTAGATTTCACAGGCCTGATACTTATTTGACATAGCCTGAAGGTGCAGGGAGGGAGGGGCACTCCTGCAGTGAAGGGTTTGTAGAGGCTGCTTTTCTTGATGCCTGTTGGATGGCACTTCGGATCTGTATTGCAGGTGTACGGTGGCTGAGGCGGCCCAAGCACAGGAAAGAAAGCCCAACCAAATTGTACCAAATTGCAGACTTTGGGAGAAAGACCCAAGGATGCTGGATTTCTATTCACTTTAGACGTGATGGTTTCTGACCACCACCCATTGACCTAATGGTGATTTGAAATGTTTTTAGGGGCTGACCTGGAACTCAAGGTGTAGGGGGTCACCCCCCCTACACAATAAAATAATTTTCGAAAAATTAAATTACATTTATTTATTTAGTGTGTGATGGTGGAGGTGCATATGTGGAGGTCAGAGGGCAATTTTAGGGAGTCAGTTCTCTCCTACCATGTGGGTCCCAAGGATTGAGCTCAGGTTGTCAGGCTTGGCGGTAAGTTCCTTAATTCACTAAGCCATCTTGCCAGCCCCTTATGGTAATCTTCGTTTTATCCTACCTTTGGACACTTGGCCTTGCATCTGTAATAGACCTGTTCTTATGAGCAATCTGGTGAACTTGGATCTGAAACTTGCCCTTTATTCAATCCTTATAATTTACATAACTATCCTCAGAGGAGGAGAGAAATCGGGCCACGTGAAGATCTAGTCTGATGTCTGCTTGAAGTAACTTCTGGACTTGAGCACGGTATAGAGGAAGGGTCAAAAGAACCCATAGCTACTGTCCAACCAGCAGAGGGTATGTGCAGGTGTTCAAAGTCAGTGAGTAGCTGGGCTTGGTGCTGTACGCTTCAGCATTTGGGAAACTGAGGTAGAAAGACCATGAGTTTGAGACCAGTCTGATCGATAGAGTGAGACTCTCTCAAAATGAAACAATGAAGAGAGTGTTGGGGACTGTAGCTCAGTGGTTACAGTACTCATCTGGCATGCCTGAGGCCTTGGGTTCAATCCTAACCACTTTAAAAAAATAAAAAGTCAATGCATAAAACCCGCCACCTATGTGGACTATGAATCTGAGACAGGCAGGATGGTTGCCAGGGTCTTTCTGGGCTGGCCATTGGAGAAGGAGAAGGCACCATCTGGTAGGCGCTGGCTTGCACACTGACTTATTATGGGCTGGCTTACTGAGGTTGAGTGACTCATATCAGTAGTCTGCTACTGCACATTACTCCCCTTTACAGACTTCTGGGTAGGAAGGACTTACCTTACAGATGTCTTTTGACATCATTGACAATTCATTTTCTTTGTGTGTGTGTATGTGTTTTCACATGTGCGCAGGTGCATGTATGTGTGTGTGTGTGTGTGTGTGTGTAGGCCAGAGACCAACCTCAGATTATGTTCCTCAGGAGACATCCACCTCATTTTTTCAGACAGAGTTTCTCACTGGGGCCTGCAGCTCGATGATTAGGCTAGACTGGCTGACCAGAATGCCGCAGGGATCCTCCTGTCTCCACCTCCCAGCACTGGGACTTCAAGTAAGCAATACATGCTCCACTTTATGTGGTGCTAGGGATCGAACTTGGGTCCTTATGCTTGTGTGAT